TTGGTAAGAAAAAGAAGAAGCCCCGCTCGTCTACGCTCGGCAACAACAACGCAAAAGCGTCTACGCACGGCTTTGGGCAGTAACAAGACCACCAACAACCAGAAGGCAGCCCCGTCCGGCCCTGGGATCAACCACAAAGCGGCCCCGTTTACCCCGAATAGAAACAATGAGCAAAAGCCAACCCCATCTGGTCCTCGCAACAAGAAGAACCCGGACTTGTCTAGGCCCGGCGGCACGGGCGCCGGTGGGCCATTATGCAACCATAAGGGATGGTGGGGTCGCCAGGAGGGACGGCACCTGTGTTCTCGTTGCCAACAGTCAACGCCGCGTTTTGCTTTCCAGTGCCCTGGCTGCCAGATGATTGCGTGTGGCCGATGCCGAGGACGTCTTGAGAGCCAAATGAGGATGTTTGGGTTGGGGAGAGGGGTGTGTGCGAGGACGGAACCTTGCCATTTGCAAAGATAGGTAACTACCTGTATTCAGCTCGGACTAGTTCGCTCGTTGTGACATTCACGGCATCAGAAGGAGAGGAGGAACGGTTGTGCAAATCATCATCAGTATCTTTTAGGGTATCTTGAATAAGGCGTGCGCCGCAGCCACTCGTCTCAAAACCAACCCAGCAACATTTTTTTTTATACAAATCCGCTCCTTCTTGGCGCACCCCCGCGGCACTGCCGCACGCCATGGGCGTACGCAAAAACTTAAAGGCCCGGGCCCCAGGTACTCCCTGCGCGCCCGCCGTTCGCCTCAACCTCGTATCTCCCCAGGCTCTCCTGCCACGTCTGCCAGTCAAACCCCTCGTCCATCGTCGTATCCATATCCTCCCCGCCCATACTCGGCAGGCGCAGGATGTCCGGCGAGCCAGTCGTCGGCCAGAGCCAAGGCGGTAGGTTCTCCTCGGCATTCTGCGGCCCCTGCGTCATCCCCTGCGACGACTGCTGCTGATGCTGGGGCTGTGATAGATGGGCGGGTAAGCTCATCGAGGTCGAGGTCCTGCCCATTTGTTGGAGGTCGGGTATCGGGGTGTTGGGGTCAAAGCTTATCGTCCTGCTGTCGACCTGCGAGGGGTCGCTTGTCTGGTTGTGGTAAGGGAAGAAGGCGACACGCGCAATCTCCTCGGGTTGGGCAGTGGCCCACAAGGGCGCAAAATCTAGAGGAATAAATGAGGGGTTGGACATGGCTTCGTCGATGAAATCCATCACTTCGGGTTTGGCATAGGTCGCGGTGGCTGCTGGGTGTATGCCCGTCGTGTCCTGTGGCATGGTCTGGCCCCGTGCTGGTGCTCCGGCGACTGGGTCTTGGAGTTGGGGTTCCTCTTGAGCGGGCAGGTTTACGAGCTTCCGCCAGCGCTCGCGGGCAGCGGCAGCTTTCATGGATGCCGGGATACCGCCAAAGTTGGTCGGGGGGGTCCTGGACTGGTCCTGGAGGTCTAGTTCTCGTGCAGCTTGTGGATCTGCGCGCAAACGGGCAATCTCGGCGTCGCGATGTTTTTTGACTCTCAGATACAGCTTCCTCAGGGGCATCCACACGGCGTGGTGGCTCGTCAGCTTCTCAAGCTCGGCTGGGTTGGGCGATAGGAAAGTCAGGTTGAGGGCGGCCCAGGCTCGCTCGGCCTTGGGGCTCCACGGGCGGTGCGAAACTTCGATCAGCGTGTACGCCAGCGCATGCCAGTGGCTCCAGGTCTGGAACAACCAGCGCCACTGCTTACACCGGGGATCTGTGTTCAAGATATGGCTGTACTCGAACACGTCGAGTGCAGCGTTGAGCAGGCGTGCCCGCACATCCTCGGAGAGCACATCGTCACCGGGGCCCGGGAAGAGGACAGGCTGGTAGATGACGAGGGTCATCTTGGCGACGATGATGCGGGTAACGTTGGATGCCACCCAGAACATGGAGTTGGAGCTGTCCTTGTGCAGCCGCTGCTCCACCTTTCGCGACGCTTCGGTGAGCAACGCCTCGCGCTCCTCGAGCGACTTTCCGACATCGGAGGGGCAAACGGGAGTCATGCCGGACGAGACAATGTGCAAGCGCCTCGACAAGGAACAGATCTCGTAGCGAATGAGAGAGAAGGCCATGTCCGTGGTGCCCTCTCTCGGTTCGGGAAGCTGCTTGCTCTCCGGTGAGATGTCGGTATCGTTGATGTTGAGCGGAATCTGGGTGTCAAACGTTCCCGAGACGATGGTGAGGTCGGTCCCTTGGTCCTCGGCGGACCGCAGATCCAGCACGCACACGGCCCAGAAGAGTCGCCGGCGCATCTCGATCTGGAAGGGGGTAAGATTCGGAAAGTGGGTTCCGTCGCGATGGAGGCCCAGGGCCTGACTGAGGCGGATGAGCAGAGCGGTGAGCGTCCAAGCGAATCTCGTGTCGTCGTGCCGGCGGACAAAAACAAGAAAGAGCATAAAGGCTTGAATGACGGTGAAGTCGGGTTTGGTAAGGAATTCGGCCCTTGCCAAGGCCTGTTCGACGGCGAAACGGTATTTCTGAATCAGGGTGGTTTTCTCGGTACCAAAGTTGAGTTTGACCTGTGATGTGTTAGGAGAAGCAACATGGTCTGAGCTGCATGTATGTACATACCTCGTCCTCCTCCAGCGAGGTGATGGAAGCATAATAAATGGCGAACATCAACGCCTCCATGGAGGGCGTGAGGGCGTCCAGGTTGTGTCGGAGCTCCTTGATCACCTTGCTCATGCTGGGGACGTGGACGACTTTGAGGATGGGATCGACATTCTCTTGGTAGACCTGCCAGATGAAGGGAATCTGGGACGGTAGGGGATGAAGAGCTCTGAGGTCGACGTCGGCTGAGCGGTATCCCAGGATGAAGGACTGATGCTCTATTGAGCTCCTTTCGTGACCGATCGACTCGGGGCTGGCTTCCACATCGGATTCGATGGATTCTTCGTCGGTGAGGTATTGCGACGCCTTACGGAGTTCATCCAGCTGCAGCACGTTAATTCCTGTGTAGGTACCCGGTCCCGTAAAAGATAGCTGGCTTACCTCGTCGTTTATCGATGACCACAATGAGCTGCTGACATATCGCGTCACGCCCCTCTCGTTTAGAACCAGGCGACCAAACTGCTTATGCACATCGGGAGAGGCTTTGCCGATCGAGTCTGTTTCGGAGATGGACGCTGACGTCGGCCTGGTCTGTAGCCTCGCGTGGGTGAAACCAGGTGATTCATGGTTCGCGCTGCCGCCGTTGCCGCCGCCGCTGCCGCTTGTGACACTGGGCCCGGGCACCAGACGCCCTCCGAGGGCATGGTCATCCTTTTGATACGCAGCCCCCGCCTCCGGGGAGTTTCCCGCACTGTAAGGGTGGCGCACCGACTCGACCTCAATCTGGCCGCTGAGCTCTTCGACAATGCCTTCCAGCTTCCGCAGCCGCTTCATTAACTCTAGCTCGCGCTCGCTCGACGGTTGTTTTGCTGGCGCATTGGGGTCCTTGGGGCGAACGCGCCGTGGTGCCCGACCCGGGGCCGGGAAGATACAGGGGATTTGGCCGCGGCGGCAGTTGGAGCATGGCATGTGTTTGTCACAACGGACCTGCGTTAAGCTGTTAGCTGAGGCGACCCGCGGCCGCACAAAAGGCAGCGCACCTTTCTCCTCCGGCAGGTAACGCAGCTGCGCGGGTTGAGCGCGGTTGACGGGGCGGCGGTGGGCGAGTAGACAGAAGCCCCCGGCGGCGGGTGACGGGCCAAGGCGATGATCTGTTGGGGATCATAGCCATCATGGGCGCTCGTGGCGTCGGTTGACTTTGGTGTGTCTTCGGCCGTCGAGGGCTGCACACTCGAATTTCCTCCCTCGGTCATGGTGACGGCGGCGGCGGCGGCGTGTCGGCGGATGGAGGGGCCGGGAACGGGATTCGACGAATTTGGAGTTTAGAGCGCGGATGCTCGATTGGCGGGGTCGGGAGGAGGGCACGGCTGCTGATGCGTGACGAAATGCATATGAGCGTTGTGGATCGTTTAGACGGCCGCACCGGATTACGCCTTGCGTTCAGTGCTAGAATAATATGTATAGTATGTACGGAGGGGAATGGGGCGGTAAGGCGCTCGGCAAGGTGAAGATGGGATTCTTTTTTGGCCTGGTAGATTTTGGTAGTTAAGCTGAGTTGAGTTGATTTGATTAGGGAACAAATGCCTGACTGATGGAAAAGATGGTGGGGTCACAGGTAGGATCGCCAAGCACCCCAGTGGCCAATGCCTCTCCCGCCTGTCGCCCCGAACCAGTCTGGCCCGCATCCGTCGGCTACTGACTGGGCTGGGCCGGGGTCCTCAAATCTGGTATGTATCCGTACTTCCGTCGATACCGGACTTATTCCCGGGCGAACCAGGATGCAGCCCCGAGCATCGCTTCGTCCCGGTTTCTCTTGGTGCCGGATGAGTCAGGTCTCGGCTTCGCGGTTCATCAATCAGGTTGATTTCATCAGAGCCTCAATGTCGGGTTGCTCCTCGAGAAGGTTGACGATAGGCAGAAAGACCTTTCCCGGCTGCCCGTGCTCCGTGTTCCCGGCGATAACGGCCCTCACGTCATCCCATGTCTTCCACTCCCAACGGGAACATTTATGGGGCTCGAGGACCTGCATGGGATGAATTAGCAGGGAGAAGAGATGAAAAGTGAGACCATGGTTCACGGCAGGGAGAAACACACCTGGGGCTCTTGCGTGTCGAGAAGCCTTTGGCACAAGACAAAGATGGTGATATAGTGCTTTTCCGGGCTGAAGATGTCGTTTGTCAAGGTGAGAAGCTTCTCGGCTTTGACAACGAGGCCCGTTTCCTCCAGCGTCTCCCGCTCAGCACACGCAAAATAACTCTCTCCCATCTCAAGATGGCCTCCCGGGAACTGCCATTGTCCTGCAATGTGTCAGTCAAGCCGCTGCCTGCAGTCAAGAACTCAAGCCACAGCATGGCATACCGTCACCGTGTGAGCCTTTCCGAATGCCTACGACCATCCGACCCTGTTTGTCGCGCACAATGGCGGCGACTCCTACTCGGACAACTGGGCTCTGGGTTACCATGGTTGTTGACTTGCTGACTTGCCCTGCTAACGCCAGTTAACGGTTTGCTGACAGTGTCTGGCTCTTTTTTTTTCAGAACGATAAATTGATCTGTAAGTGCGGGGAAAATAAAGCCCCTGCACGTGCAAGTCTTGGAAGGAATGTTGGACCTCTCCTTCCCGGCTTGGCCTGCAACGTCTCTAACAGGTTTCGGCTTCAAAACTTAAATGTTATAATCGTCAACAACATGGCAGCTCCCCCCACATTTGGTTATCGCGAGTCAGAAACCGAATGCTAAGCGGCATTTCCCGAGAAAGGGGGATTTAGTGTAGAGAGCTTTGCACTAGTCCGTTTCGTTTCCTCCTTTCCTTCCCTCTTTCATTCCACATACCTATTTGCCGCACAAAGGCCAACGGAAATAAAGATACCTAACCATAAATATCCGCCCAGAGTCAAGCAAGCCGAGCAGCGGGGTAGCTTGGGATTTTGGAAAGATGAAACTTGTCGGGAGGACCCTAAAGGATGAGTGAGCTCTTTGAACAATTGAAACGAAAGGCGAACTACTGGGGAGCCCTGAACCCCTGGACCCCGGTTTACAAGGTGCTGACGAAACACTGAGCCAAACAAAACATTTACTGCCGGTGTCTTGCTCTCCAAGTCCTGGTAGAGCGTCGTTATAGCACCCTCGTCGACATGTCCAAGGCTTGTAACACAACCGAGCTCGTCCACCTTGAGTGGACGCCTTGAGACTGCGAGGGTGTCGATGGCCGCTTGCAAGAGCGTGTGGTTCTCTAAGTAGGGAAATCACTTGCACAGAACACCTCACTCTCGTCACCAACATTGTGGTCGTTGTTTGCCTAATAGGCTTGGCGGTTGAATTTTTAAAGGTCTTGGACGGGGGCCGACGATGACTGTGACCGGCATGATGTTTCCTTGTGGGAAATCGCAAGGAGTTTACCGCCCGACTAGGTAGTAGGTGGAGGCGCACTTGGAATTGGCTTCCCGCACTAGTTCGTCACTAGTGCCTGTGGATGATCTCTTTGTCAAGGACCGGGGCAGGACACGCGCGAGAACCCGTCGTTTGACCTCTTTATGACGCGGAGCCGTTTCAAGGTCTCGGCCAGAACCGCACTACTAACGGAGTCGGCGTGGGAAATATACAATACTGCGTGTTTGTAGTGCTCAGCTTTAGTACAGGAAGCGACCCGACAAGGAAGCATAAGCGTGAGAAAATCTACCCGTTCAGCTTACAGGCTAGGTAAAGTAGGGAGGGTCCGTACAGTCCCGGCCACTTCAACCACGGGCAGTCTGGTTATGCATGGATGTGTATATATTTCTATTCTTACCACCGCAGTTGTCTCCAGCTCTTTCTGTGGTTTTAATTCCAAACATTGTTCTTTGGTTTGAGATTTCGAGCGTGGCGGGTGCTTTCCTCAGCTTTGTGTATGCACCCGCAAGCGGCCAGGCAGGGACCTTCTTTATGTTTACTGGGGGCGACTACCGTACCTTATAACTCCGGGCTGGACACCACTGGTGTGACTTCTGTATTGAATATAACCTGTCTTCTATGCCCATTCGAGTCACCGTAGTCCATCTGCATCTTACTTTCGAAGCTTGATTGAAGCGTCATCCCGATTCTTTACGTTACAGACTTACAGTTTCACCCACGATTCCACATTTCCAGCCATGTCCGCCGTGGAAGAAGCCCTCAGCAAACCTGAGTACTGGGATAAGCACTACTCCAAGTCAGACGGTCAGACACCTACCCACGAGTGGTTCCGTTCCTTCAACGACCTGGAAGAGTTCTTTCAAAGTCCACTCTTTGATGCGCCAGGATTCACACCACCCGACAACCCGGTGATTCTCCATCTCGGCTCAGGGGATAGTGTTGGTTGCCCCCTTGCGCACTTCACTTCTAGACTAGCTGATCCGATCCCATAATTATGTGTATTAGGTTATTCCATTGGAGCTTGACGCGCGAGGTTACCGTCCCCAGATATGCGTCGATTTCTCATCTAAAATCGTGGAGACGATGGCAGAACGACACCGAGACAAACCGGGTATAGAATGGCGATGCATGGATGTACGAAATATGGTTGGCCTCGCGGATAAATCTATTGGCGTCGCGTTCGATAAAGGGACGCTAGATGCTATGATCCACGGAAGTCCTTGGAGCCCGCCCCCAGATGTTAGAGAGAACACGGGGAAATATCTGGCAGAGGTTCACAGAGTATTATCAGACGATGGCATCTTTCTTTATGTCACCTTTAGGCAGCCTCATTTCATGAGGAGCTTGCTAAACCAGCATGGCTTGTGGGAATTAGACCTACAAATTCTCGGTGGACACAACGGCGGGTTTGAGTACTACGGTTGGGTGATTCGGAAGGCAAGGAGCAAGGAGCAAAAGCTATAAGTTTGGTGTTCTTCTCGTTTTTGTTTTTATCAGCGACAAACCAGCCTTTCGGGGAAGGAGAAATAGAAGGCTCGAGTACAGCCCAAGTACATGCGCATTGTAGGTATAAGCCCCAAGTAGGAGGGGAAGCGAGAAGTATCGGTTGGGAATAGCAGCCATGGGTAGGACGATTTCCTTCGAGGCACATAACGATCATCGCTGAGATGGCCACCGTTAGTGACCGTACTGTCTGAGCTGCCCAGGGCGCCGAATCGGGGGAGCCCACCTGCCTACCTAACGTTTTGTTTGGCGCTGTGAGAGGATGGACATGTATCCATGTACGTATTACTTGCCCACGTCGCAGACCTAATCAATTTGTGTAGCGACATAAGATATTAAAGAGCCTATCAAGAGAACCTATCCGCCACACCGTGCAATGACACATCGAAGCACATGAACTTGTTCATTCAAGAATAGTCCCGCCGCGAAGCACCCGTTACTGACTGCATATCGCCGATTCTCCGACCTCCTCCCCTTCCTTAGAGACGAAGTCGTAGACTTCATCACCAGTGCGTCCATTTCCTGCAACACGCTTCGCGTTAACTTTCTTGAAGTTCACCTCGATGACGTTTAGGGGCGGTAGCTCCGCATTGCCTGCTGCTTTCCCTGCTTCGGCAGCAGCCGTCCACACAGACGTTGTGTAGGCGATGAACTCCCGCCTGCCAACGGCAACATAATTCAGTTCGCAAAGCTCGGTTTTGTTGTCAAATATCGCCTTGGCCGTTATCTTTCCAAGAAAATGCCAAAAGGGACTCGGATAGTCCCAGTCGTATTTGTAGCCGACATATCGGAAAATATCGGTTTGCTGGGAGAGCGTCACTCTTACAAGGTCAGCCCCGGACTTGCATCTTTACACAGCCGGCTAGGGGCCGAGGCTTACTGTATCACAACGTGGGTGACGCCATTCATGTCAAGGTCCTTGAAGCGTTCTTCTGTCGTTGCTTGAGCTTCCGGAATCAGAGCATCAATGGCATCATCGTCCGGTACTCCCAATCGTATGGTGCGTAAGAAGGGGTCGTCGAGATGGCCTTCCGGGACGTTGTTTGCATTCGGATCTGTAACGGTATCTATTGTCGTGGCTCAGTGGGAGAATATGATCAGTAGTTATGAAATGAGAAGCGGTGGTATGCTAGAGACGGCAGGGGACAAATGCTAACATACAATTTGAGAATGGAACCCAAGTTTACAAACCATCTGCTTTCGCCATCGTTTGTTGTTGAGAGAGGTCACGATTGGTCTCAGCTGTGAGTGTGCGGTTGGGCAAGGGCTGCGCAAGATATCCAAATCAAGCAGGCGGCAGCGGCAGGCAGACATCCAACCCAACCAACGAATATGTCCACATTCAGTCTAATTTGTAACACCGGGTATCAGCCCCTTTCCCACCAGCCAGCCAGCCGGATATGTACATGCCCTCCCCCCCCCATCTAGCGATCAAGTTGTACCGGCCGTCTGTATCAATACCATACCCATGCAACCCCAACCAAAATCATCCCGTCATCCAATGCAAGTCATCAACATCTGTACATACATACATGTCATGCCAACCCCTCCTATGAACAAAACTCCCTTTAAATCACCTCAACCCCTCGGGCCCCTTCTCCACCACAAACCTGACCGGCTTCCTCGCCTTCCTCGCAGGCGCCCCCTTCGGCGGTATGACCGGTCTCAAAACCGGCCCCGGCCCAAGCGGCTTCATCCCGCCCGCGATCATCTTCTGCAACCCACCACCAACACCGCCCAACCCAATCTTCCCGCCCTGGGCCTGCACCAGCGCAGCCCTCGCGGTAATGGGTCCCCCAGGGGCCGGCTCAATAATCCAATCCCCTTCCGTCCCACCCTCCCCCCGGCGCTCATCATACCCCCACCGACTCACGCCGCCGCCGACCAACCACCCGCCGAGATTCTTACACTGGCTCACATCCACCCACTCCAGACGCGAACACCCCTCGAGCACATTCTCGACCCCATTCCCCGTCACCCGCACACACCCCCTCACACTCAACCCCCTCAGCTCATTCAAATGCAGCGCCACGCACCCCCAAACTAGCATCACTCACGGCACTCCCACAAAACGCCATGCGCAGCTCGCGCAGCGCGGGCAATCCTAGCGCCACCACCTCGGTCGCGGTATCCGACAGGGCGCAGCAGAAGGACAGGTCCAGGTGGGTGAGGGCCTTGGCGGCGCCGACGAGGGCGACGACGCTGTTGTCGGACAGGTAGGTGCAGTCGGCGAGGCAGAGGTGGGTCAGGCGCGCGAAGCGGTAGGGCGCCCACGCCTGGAACCCCGCGTCCGTGACCGAGGTGCAGCGCGTCAGGCTGAGGGCCTCGAGGCGGGACGAGGCGTGCGCGGCGAGGTGCGCCATGGAGCGGTCGGTGACGTGTTTGCAGTAGGAGAGGTTGAGGCGGCGGAGGCGTGGGCAGCCGATGACGGTGCCGGGGGATGGGGGAGTTGGTTGGGATTGGGAAGTGGGGGGGTTGGTGGGTTGGATGCGCTGGCTGCGGCGGAGTTTGGCGCCGGAGGGGGCGATGACGATGTTCTTGTTGGGGCCGTCGCGGGAGGGGGGTGGGTTGGGGACGACCCAGCCGACTACCCGCGCTAAGAGATTGTCGCCGACCTTGCGGCAGTTGCTCCAGTCGATTTCTTCGAGGCCCTTGGCGGACTCGCTCATCTCGAGGATCTGGGAGGCGGACACGTCCCAGACGCTGCGCATGCGCCAGATCTTGATGTTCTTGCCGCAGGACTTCCACAGGGCCTGGAACCCCTGGTCGGTGATGTGGAAGCAGTTGCTGATGTCCATCTCGATCGCGCGCGTGCCGATGAATGGGGCGAGGATGTTGGTCAGCGACCAGTCATCCACCTGACGGTTGATCCGGCTCAGGTCGATGCGTGTGCAGAGCTCGGGGCTGGTCGTCAGCATCTGGCGCCACTTCTTGCAGACGCTCCTCAGGCGGATCATTTCGAGGAGATCGAGGTGGTTGAAGATGACAATCCAAACAATGTCGGGGAACGTGCCCGTATCCTTGCCTTTGTTGACCTCAATCTGTGGGAAGATACGTGCGCGTTTGGCGGGCAAGGGTGAGTCGTCGAGCGAGATGGGGGATAGCAGAGGAGGGGCGGGCGTGACCGGCGGTACCTTGATCCCTCCCACGATGACACTGCAATCCGTCTGTGGCGTCGGGGGCGCGAGAGAATTGCGCCGTCGATTGCGAAGGTTTTCCATGTCCACGCTTAAAAATGGGTCGGGGTCGGACGGCTGCCGAGTGTCTTCCTCTTCGATTGGTGGTGAGACTGGCTTGGGTGGAATGCTGAACGTAACCGTAGGGGGGGCTTGCTCTCCCGCTCGCGGCTGTTTCCCACCATTCGTTTCGACATCCTCCATCTCGACGTCTTCTGGCTGGTAGCGCTCCCTCGCGGTCTCCTCCACCTGGGACTTGACCTCGGGCGGGCACCTTCTCCAAAGTTCGTCGAGAATCTCGCCCGGGATTATTAGACACTCGACATCGGAAACGGTCCGAACTGTTGCCGTCCTCCATTGAGACAGGCCCAGACTAGCCACCTCTCCAAAATACTGCCCCTGCTTCAACCTCGGGCGCGAGTATGTTGCTCTTGTTGTCCGCCTGAGGGTAGGGCTCTGTGGTTCCTGCACCACCTCTGCCTCGCCGCGGACGATAAAGAAAATGTCGTTACCTGGGGCGCCCTGGCGAATGATATCGGTGAAGGGCGGATAGGATTTCGGCTGGGCGCTGAGTCCGAGAAAATGCAAAATATCTACCGGCAGAGTTGCGAATAGGGGGAGCTCCTTGAGCGTCTTGCGGACGTTCACATAGCCACTCCCAAGGGCGCTGCCGCCAACTGCCGGGTCCTCCACCACTCCCGGGCTTGGGGACTTGCGTTTCTTCGTGTTCACCACCGCTCCCTCCTTGATGACCCCCATTTCGCCCGTGCTGACCTCGCCAGGTGCCGGCTCCCGCGCAAGGCTCGCGGCGCTAGTATCTGGGAGCTTCCTCGTCTGCCCTCCTTCTTGCCGCTTCTTCTGGAGGATAGCGAGCCTCTCCTGCGCTTCTTGTCGGATGGTCCGTTCCATCTTGGGGAAATTAGGTAGCTCGGCCTGCAAGTCTTCCTTCTTAAGTACGACCAGCAGACATTTCGTCCTCGCAATGATGGTTGCTGTCCTTGGCATGTCCATGAGCACGCCTATCTCGCCAAAGAATGCGCCAGGCTTGAGCTCCGCATACACGGCCTCCCCGTCGCGAGACGTGACAGCAACGACGCCACGGACCAGCCAGTACATCGCTTTTGCGTCGTCTCCCTCCGTAAGTATGTGGTCATGTGCGGAATGTATCTGAGGACGCAGGTGAGCGCCGATGGCGGCGAGGAAGTCGTCCGGGGCAGACATGAAGAGCGGGAATGATCTGATGCGGTCGACTAAATCGAGGGGCATGTCCGAAATGGTCGACGCCGTCAGGGGGGATGGGCGCACAGGTCGTGTCGGGTTTGTCTCGACGTTGAAGGACCGGAGAACAGATGACACGGAGTCACGCGCCTGCTGGCCCGTCTGCGACCCGGCGCCATATTGGGCGTGATGGTGGGCGAGAGCGCGGTAGGGCGACGCCGCCGGGGGCGTTCGACTGCGTCGCATTACGTCTCGAGTCGGCCGGGAGGACTGCCTCCCAGGTCCCGAAGCGGGCGGTGTCTGGCGAAACTGTCTCGAACGTCCGATTACCCCAATTTAGTCTAGCACACAAATTGCAGATGACGTCTCGAGGTCGCGCTGGCCGGTAGATTGCGGAGAGCCGGCAGGGTCGAAATTAGGCGCGAACTCTCTCATGCTATTGTCGTCCCAACCACGGCTTCCCCAAACGGGAACACCAGGAACCGCGGTTGATGCGCTCGCTCCGGTCCCTTGGTTGTCGTTTCGGGGTGAGGGGGAGCAATCGACTTTGCGCCGAAAATTGGAGATGGTGCCGCCGAGGATGTACGAGGATGGGTCGCAGAGGGCCAACTTCGCTTGCGTTCGTCCGTTGTTTTCTGTATCGGAGGGTTTTGTCGGCAGCCCACCGGACGAAACGCGCTTCGGTGTTAGTCGGACGCGGACGTGATATGATCGTGAAGCGGAACGTTCGAGATAGACGCCGTCTGACGGCAAACTTGGTCAGCCTTCATGCCTCTTGGTTGTCAGAGCCTTCTTCGACGCCTCTTACATAACGGCCCTGGTTGAAACGCCGAAACGCGCGCGTGGCAGGACGGAATTTGGAGATGGTAGAGGTGTGGGGTAATAAGTCGGGATGAATTGGTTCGAGAACAATTGCGTGTGGTTTCAGCCGGCCAGCCCCGCGAACCGACCAAGCTTTGCGAGAGACAATACCGGCACGATGGCGGTGGGAGGTGAGATTCGTCTGAGTAACGCAATGCGGCGTTGAAGATTGCGCTGCCGAGCTGAGCCGTCCGGCTGTGGCCTGGTGCCAGTCCTGCAGTCCTGCAGTCCGTCCCGCAGCGCTGCAGTATCGTGCGACGTCACCACCGATTGGTAGAAGTATTCCGCTGCAGGTGACACGGGGGTTCAGCGCTTAAGCGGACAACGGGTACGAGAGGGCGGGTTGAGCATAGCGGAAATAGGGCGACGGCGGAAAGCGGCAGGAAAGACACACGGTTGCGTGCTACCCACAAAACTTTCCGACTAGACTGGTGGTTGTGATGCAATGTGTTCCAGTCGACCGAAGAGGGGAGGAGGAGCTGCAAGCTGGGCCCCTGAAAAGGGTCGCAGGCCACAGCGCAGTCAAAGCTCCGCAGTCAAAGCTTTCAAGCCCGTTTTAAGTGGTGGCCATGGCGATGTCAAGTTGCAGGGAGCTGTTTAGTCCCGTCTGAGCTTTCGGCTTTTGAGGGTCTAGGGCCAGGGTCGACTGCGGGGCAACTGAAACAGTGAGTGATCCGCCCGCCCTTGCCACCATCGATTCATATGTAAAAGACCTCCCGACGCGAGCCACGCTACCTGTCGTTGCCTTCAGGTTAAGAAGAATGAGAAGCACGGGATGAAACGCGGTTCCCCAACGGTATAACATTGCCTTGCCAGATGGCGGTCTGGACGTTCGAGATCGTTCGGGAGCGGTCAAGCGTCGACTGTGTATTTCTCGAATTAGTTCGCTCCACCCGTCTACGGAAGCAAGATGGACCTCCGGTTCAAGCCAAGCTGCAAAGTGGCGATATAAAGAAAGTAAAAAAGAAAAAAAAAAACCACGTTGTCCACAACACGGTAAAGAAATTGTACATAAAAAATTCCAGGCTCTATTCCATCATTCATCCCCAAGAAAGATGAAATTGGGCGATTGCGATTACGGAGCCTAAAAGTTTGAGTGCGTGCAGGCAAGGTTGTGTCCTGTGTATTGTGAGCACTGTGTAAATACCGGCCTGGTTGAAGGATAACGAATCATATCGCAACAGTCATGGATTCCCCAGAAAATGCGCGGGCCATGTCGACAGGAGTGTTTCCAAAATGCTTCCATGGCCAGCATGCATGCTTCCCGCACCAATCTGCTTCTCATCCTCTCATCTCACCCCTGCCCCATAAAAGTTTGTTCTTTCAATCAGTTGGAAGGGTGCTCAACCAGTATTCTGCCCTCGCTTCGAGAGCAAGAAACCTCATCCTTTGGCCAACAACAGAAACCACCTGAAGGTGAGAACGGGTTCCTGGATTTGGAGATCCAGATTTGTTGAGTCGGTGATTCCGCAAAACTTGAATTACACTAAAACGACAGACCCTGTGTGTACTCATGCGGTTTCTTACCCGTACTAAGGAAGGTGTCCAATTCCTGCGGGGGCTGAAGTTGCCTCCCTGCCACAAATAAAAAAAAGCCAGACCCAAACGCGTCTCGTAATTGTAGCTGGTAACTACCAGGTACATCTCGTTTTTTATCAGAGATAATTCCGTAGCTACCTAAGGTACCTATCTAGACGAGGGGGGAAAGGGGGGGCAGAACTTCAACAGCATAAGCGAGCTAGCACCGAGAATCGAGGGGTAGCACACAGTTGTCTGTTCACATCCTTAACAGTCCTGATGCATTCATGGCAACATTCTGTGTTGTGTACATTGATAGAGGTAGGAGCCGGGTGCATTTTGTAGCTGCCCCTACGGCCCCGGCCATGCCCCTCGCTGTTTTTCGGACAAAGGTCCTTGGAGTACGGCCACTGACAAACCCCCAGGACACACCTCCAAGTACAAACCATGGAAATGCTTCGTATCTAATCGAGGCAGCTATTGTTGGGACATTCAGCTCCGCGAGAAATACGAAATGGAGAGTGCCCAGAGGCAAATTAATACCTCGGACGGAGACGAAGTCGTGTTATTTGGGGTTATCCATTTTGTCGGACTTCGGGGGAAAGAGAGCCTAAAGCCGACCATGCGATAGTGGGGTTAGGGTTAAATACCGGCCTCGGTGGAACAGTTAACAGTACAAGTAGGTTGGAAGCTTCCGGAAAAGCCCGGCCCAATCCTGTCAGCTTAGCTAACGCCACCACCTCGCAACGTCATTCCCCACGTTCCCGAAGCGGGCGATTCCTCCACATCAAAACCTCCAACCACTCCCAAGCTCAATACGTCTGCTCCTCCATTCGTTCATCGCATCACCAACCATAGAGGGCAACTCACAATGTTCACGATCACGGTCCGCGCAGGCCCCGGGCGCCTCGCTGCTAAGGCGCCGCAGCTCGCTCGCGCATTCCATCAATCGGCTCCGAAGAACAGCTTTTTTACCTCAAGGACAGCAGCGCTTACGCTCCGTTCCAACACAAAATCCTCCAGCAACATTCTCACCAAGCTGCAGGGCGCCTCCCGCGGCTACCGCACACAATATGAGACCTACGTCGACCCAGCGGCGCGCCGCAAGGAGCTCTATCGCAAGCTGATGATCGGCGGCGCCATCTTCGGCGGCACTCTCGTTGGGGTCAACGCCATGTTCAACCGCGAAACGAGAGATGATGGTGGGATGCCGCCCTTCGAGAGGTCGTACCTCAACCGCACCTTCATGCACACCGGTCTCGGCATCGGTATCATCGGCCTGACGGCCTACCAAATGGTCCAGAGCGGTTTCGTATATCGTATCATGGTCACCAACCCGTGGGTGGTCGGCATCGGCGGTATTGCGCTCAGCATTGGTAGTATGATGGCCACGCGCGCAATTGACCCTGACAAGTAAGTTCTGGCTTTTTGGTAGCAACACGGCGCCTAACTAACGTGTCCCAGTTACATCCCCAAGTACGCCTGCTGGGCAGTCTTCAACGCCACCCAGGCTGCTCTGGTAGCGCCGCTTATGACCATGGCGCCGCCCGCCCTCCTCGCCCGCGCCGGCCTGTACACCCTCGCCATGATGGGCAGCATCTCGATCGTGGGCGCCACCGCCAAGCAGGACAAGTACATGTACATTGGCGGCCCGCTCCTTGCCGGCGCAGCCATCGTGGCCGTGTCGGGCTTCGCGCCGCTGGTTCTCCCCGCGACGGCCGTGCGCACGCTCGCCGTGACCGAGAGCCTCTGGCTGTACGGTGGTCTGGCCGTGTTCGGCGGCTTCACTCTGTATGACGTGCAGAAGGTGCTCTATCACGCACGCGCGGCGCAGCGCGGCATCATCAAGGAGGACCCCATCAATGAGAGCATCAGCCTTGAGCTCGACTTCCTCAACATCTTTGTGCGCATGGTGCAGATCCTGATGATGCAGAACCGGAGGAAGTAAGCAGGGCGGGACGGTGGATAGGAGGGAATGATCGGCTTGGCTGGCCGGGAGAACCAAGCGAATACTTCTCTACTCGAGTGTTTTCTATGTTTTGCGGACGATACCGCGCACTGGATCAGGGGCGTCGGTGTTTCCACTCATGTATCAGGTAGTCGGTCGTTTGGCGTAGCCATCAAAAATATGTGAAAAAGGCACCAAAAAAAAAAAAAAAGAAATTTGAACCTCACCACTAGCTAACGCCCGCCAAATCCCAGCTCGTCCCAACAAACAATTCACACGGCACTCCCATTCCAATAACTTTCATGTTCCCCACACCCCCTTCCAACCCCCTACTTCAGATCCGGAAACGGCCTCAAAAAGTGACTCGGGCACTCATACCCATGGGGGTTCTTATCCAAATACAGCTGATGATAGTCCTCAGCATCCCACCACTGCTGCGCCGGCAGGAGCTCCGTCACGATCTTGCCGTTCCACCACTGCTCTCCGGCACGCTTGGTCACGTCCCGCGCGATGGCCTCCTGCTCGGGCGTGTGGTAAAAGATGCCGCTGCGGTACTGCGACCCCGTGTCGGGCCCCTGCTGGTTCAGCGTCGTGGGGTCGTGCATGCGGTAGAAGAACTCGAGGAGCGTGGTGTAGGAGAGCCGGGCGGGGTCGTAGATTAGGAGGGTCGCTTCGGCGTCTGTGGGAAGAAGAACGGGTTAGTTACGTGGGTAGTCGGTCACTGCGCGCATGTTGGGGCGCACGCATGGCAGATAGAATGGGGGCGGGGAGGGGGGAGGGTAAGTGCACGCACGCCCCGTGTTGCCGCTGCAGACGGCCTTGTAGGAAGGGTCGGCCGCGTCGCCGCCGATGTAGCCCACGCGGGCGTCGTACAGGCCCTTGTCGGCAAAGTGCTTGCGGTAGAGGTGCTCGACGCCCCAGAAGCAGCCCGCGGCGACGGTCGCGCGCTCGGCACCCTCGGGTACGGTTACGGGGGTGGCGGGGGCGCTCATTCTGCTGGCTGTTGAGGTGAGGGGGCGGAAGAAGCGGGTGAGGAATTGTGGGAGGGCGCTCATCTATGGCGGTTGGCGATTTGGAAAAAAAAAGTGTTGGGGTAGGATGGTCGCGATGTGTAAGTTGGAGTTTTGGTGGGGTCGTGGCGGGGCTGATGGGGTGATACAAGTGATGGCGACAGATGCGAGTGGTTTTGCGTGCGGTGAAAAATAAAGAAGTGTTGGGTTATGCCAATAATAAGTAACTCGCTGGTACACGGAGCACTTAAATATCAAACGACAATGAGGAGTTGTTAAATTCGGAAACTACGATTCCATCCGAACGTCGAGATGTTCAAGACCCTCCAAGGCCTGTGACGTCGGCAGCATAAGCTTCCGGCAGGGTTCCCAGCTCCAGATGACAAATCCCAATGGCTCGGCGAAAATTGATTCCAAAGCGCGAAGGATTTCGCTGGGTTAGGGTTCAACCGATCAGTCGATAATTTAACTGTTCATTGGCAGCATTCAACTTCATCTCTCAGCCTTAAATCGCCTCGCCAGTGAGCCCGTGAGGCAGTGTCGGCGACCTTGCCGCCTTTGCGCAGCGCTGGTCGTTTGGCCGGCTGCTGCCTACTGCAAGATGTTGTAAATGTAATCGATCGATCTTTCGTTTGTTTTTCTCGTCTCAACACTATGATGGGTAGTACTTTACCACCATTCGTAGGCCTTTATTCTGTCGCGTAGTTATATTATCATCCCCAAAAAAACATGTACCAGCCCCTTGACCCGAGCCGGCGACAAATTCGGCTCCTTCAGATCGTCGACGGTTCCGAGAATGGCGCAATCGAATGCTCAATGCAGACGGTCGATTTTGACGACATTAATTTTGAGTTTGCCGCGCTGTCCTACGTCTGGGGTGACGAGAGTATCACCAAGAATGTGCTACTTGACGGCCATCAAAGGGCTGTGACTACCAACCTAGAATCAGCCCTCCGCAACTTCTGGCGCTACTTCGCAAAGAATGGTGTCAACACCATCAGACGAGCCAACTTGGTGTCGTCTCTGATTGAGCAGCCCGGTGGGCTCACCGGCCTCAGGAAATATCTAGGCTCAGAGAGCTGCGATTTGCGCCACGAGAGCGATGCCGAAGATGAAAGTGATACCGAGAATCGGGAAGACTCTGAAGATGACGGAGACTCTGAAAAGAACGGGCCCGAAGACGATGATGGAGATGGAATCGGCATCAAGGATCAACTCATGGTTGAGAGGATTCTCTGCTCTCACCGGCGGGCGAGGGTTGGCGGCGGCAATCTGCCCATTTGGATCGACGCACTCTGCATCAACCAAGCCGACTCAGCAGAGAAGAGCAAGCAAATACCTATGATGCGGGACATCTATGCAAAGGCGGAATGTGTTTTCTCCTGGCTCGGCCCACCGGACCAGAGAAAAGTCGACCTTGCCCTGAGCACTATCCGGAAGCTCGCAGTGCGCCTGCACTCAGACGGGTACTCGCGATCGGACTTGAACCGCGACCACCCAGAGCTCTGCGAGATCCATTACCACCACGTTCCATTCAACAGGTACTGGGAAGCCATCTCCAACTTTTCCAACGCCGAGTACTTCGAACGTCTATGGATATTCCAGGAGTTATGGGCGACGGATGATGCCATCTTTCTCTGTGGCGACGAATATCTCCCCATGAGGTCACTTACCCGTTATCATGCCTGGGCCCTCTCACTCACGGAGAGCGGTATCGACCCTCCGTCCCCCCCCCTTACCATTCCCATCTTCGCTCCCATCACCCAGGTCTACGAGATGAAGGCCGGGCTGAAATACGCACCAATGGGAACCCGCGTGTTCCTCGACATCGTCCGTCAATGGCGTTGCAAGAACCCCCGGGACAAGGTCTTTGCTCTCTTTGGCATATTCCGCATGGACCTCACACCAGACTACGACATGCCCGTGGCCGAAGTGTACACGAAGTGGGCCACGAACTCATGCCAGGATCTTCCTCTCGGCTCGCTGCTGTTCTACTCGGGCATCGGGCTGTACCCAAGGCCATCAAATAACCACGGCCTGGCTTCATGGCAGCCCAATTTCGAGGTTGTTGGCGAGCAGCTGAGATCGTTCGACGCCACCTATGCCTATCGGTATCTGGACGTCGAAGTCCCAACCAGGTTTCAACTTACCGTATCTCCAACCCGAAGCCTCATTTGCTTTGGTGTCCAGATCACCAAAATCACCCAAATCGCAGCAGCAGCCCCCAAACCGACTTTTGAATCCCTCACCCCCGTCCGAGACATCCACGCAAAGCATTCGCAGCTCCCCACCCGCCAATCCATGCTCCCCATGCTCAGGCACCTCCTGGACAACCGACACCAGCTCTGGGCCCCCGCCTACCACCAAAAGGGGTCACCACTCTGGCAATTCATCGAAACAGTCAACGAATCCGTCGGCGGCGGCTCCCCGCCAACGTCAGACCTCACGCCCGATCTCCTGCGCGGCTTCTCCCCACACAGGCTGATCAAAGCAGCCCAGCGCCAGATCGCATCGACGACGGACGGACCCGACGACTTCACCACGCAAGAGCTCCAACTCATGGGCTTCCAGTCCGCGGAGGAACTGCATGCATCCCTCGCCGAGCTACCTACAAGTTTGCACGGCCGCCGGCGCACCCGTGGGCAGAACTCACTGCGGGCGAAGCAGAAAGACGCCGTGTCGCAGTTTGTCAGCCGGCTGTGGATTTTCGCGTTTACCAAGACCCTGTTCCAGACCGAGGACGGGCGGGTGGGGGCCGGGCCACCTGGGGTGGAAGTGGGTGACTTGGTGTACTTGGTTCATGGGTGCCCGTGTCCGGTGTTGGTGCGTGAGGTGCGGGGGGAGTTCCGCCATGTGGGGGTGTCGTATGTTCCGGGGCTGTCGGGGGCTGAGAGTTTCGAGGTGCTTGATGGTAGGGCGGGTGAGGTCCGGCAAGTTGAGTTGGTTTGATTCTGGCTAGGGGAATGAGGAAGGGGTGGAGAGATACACCCACTGGGTTTGGTCAAGGGATTCTGTTTCAAAGACTATTATAGATGGATAGCACTTATCAGATGAATTCCGCCCTCGTTTATCCGAGAATTATCTCGTCTTTGGAAAATGGCTACTGCATGGCCACTACCTAGGTAGTTTGAGGGCGTCGTTGCTGGTGTTCTCGATTTTGGAGAATAACGTCTCAAGTCGAAGTGAAAAGGGTATCGAAGTAAAATTTTGGAAGTCATCACTTCGAGGTAGACACTCATCAGAGATGAACCAAATATCGCTAGATTCGTTAACTACCTATCATTCATTTGATACCGCCTATGTATCCATCGAAACTCAACCCCAACGCCGCTCAAATGTGAACCCTATGAACCAGAACTGTCGCAGAACCCAGGGGATAGCTGACAAAAAACTGAAACTACAAGAACATATTCCTGCTGTCGGCATCCTTCTTGCTCGACCCGGGGGCCGTGTAATCCACCCCACTCAGGTTGGTCAGGTCGCTCTCAAACATGGCCTGGATCTTGGTGATCTGCAGCAGCTGGTTCAGATCCAGCTTGGCGCCGTCAAACGCGGCAAGACTCTCGGCGGCCTTGATGGCGTTCTTGATCTGGCGGCCGTTCAGGTCCGTATCGGCCAGGGTCGACAGGCCCTTCTCGTCGATGTCGACGCCGCCGGGCACCATGCGACAGAAGTTGCGCCAGATCTGGCGGCGCGACTCAATCGACAGGTCCGTGTAGCGGATGGGGATGTGGATCCGCGACTTGAAGGCGTCGTCGAAGGTGGTGACGCGGTTGGTCGTCAGGAAGAGGATTCCGGAATAGTACTCGAGGACGCGCAGGAAGACGCTGACCATGGCGTTGCGGTGCATGTCGTGAAGCGAGCGGCGCTCGAGGAACACGTCGGCCTCGTCGATCAGCAGGACGGCACGCCAGGTGGCGGTCATATCCATGATGCGCGTCAGGTTCCTGTCGAGGTCTGCGCTGTTGGTGCCGACTGCGTGTTGTGTTAGCAAAGTATGCGGGACGGCAGAGGAGGCAGAGAGACTTACGATCACCAGATGAAACCATGTAGCAAGGTTGGCCGCTTGACAAACTCGGCGACACATTCGGCCGTGAGAGTCTTGCCCACGCCGGGAGGCCCGTGGAGCACACAGACGAGGCCCATCCCCTTGCCCTTGACGATGTCGTCGAAGGTCTCACGCTTCTTGGAGTGAGTCGACACGAGTGCCTGCACCGTCTTCTTGATGGCAGCATCGAGCACTAGTTCGTCGAAGCACTTGGTGTTCCACTCGATCTCGGAAATGTCCTCGACGAAGAACTCGAGGAAGCGCTTGGTGGTAAAGGAATACCCGCGGACGGTGGCGTTGGTCAGGATGAGATTTTGTTCCGAGAGCTTCTCAAACTTGCGCTCGCCGTCAGCCCCCGCAAACGTCAAGTGACCCAAAGCCCGCTTCCGGCTCCGTTCCATCTTGGTCGAGTCATCGTTGAAGTTCTTGGCGTTGAAGGAGTCGTTGGGCTCCAGCCTGTGGTACGTCTTGCAATCGATCATTACCCGGCCGTTGACGGTGAAGCGGGCGTAGCCTTCGGGCGTTTTCTTGATGGCGATGCCGTCATACTGAACAAAGTGTTGGCCGACGTGGGCCTCAAACTTTCTACCGCGCGCGAGCAGTTCCTCCCGCAGGTCGCTGGCGTCATCAATGAGATCGAGGGGGATCGCAGCCAGGTCGCTCAGCTCCCTCGTCCCCTGGTACTTGGGGACAGCCAGTTCGATATTCCGGGTCCCAAGCCTCTCTCCGTCAAAGTCGACAAACTCTGACCGAAGACCCATGCACGGGCTGAGCTCGCTCGTGTCGTAGTACGTGTCGTTGACGCGGAACGCACGGTTTTGAGACAGGAGTTTGCAGTAGGCGACGGTTCCGGGAGGGAAGAGGGTCCAGAGCCTGTCGTAAGCGATGACCTTGTGTGGTTGCGAAGTGCACCGCTCGTAGGCGGCAATGTCCAGCTCGAAGTGTGTCTTGATCCAGTTCAGGAGCAACTTAAGTTGCTCGAGGGACTCCTCATCCTCGGCGAAGCGCTCGAGGCCCTCGGTTTCCAGCTTAGCGCGGTAGTAAAAGAGCGAACGGTACGGCGCCTCGATCTGAACATCGTTCACATCGATGGGATTTCCAGGGTAGTTGCCAATGACATCGAAGAGGAGCTGGCGGAGGGGTTGCGGGTTGACATACAGACTCGTTCCTTCGAGCTCGTTGTCTGAGTCATAGGTGCGGACCATGCAGAAGGCAAAGAGGCGCCACCAGTCCTTCTGTTTCGGCTTTTCGACCTCGGTCTTACGCTCGGCAAAATAGGCCTCATCATCGTCGTCGTACCGCCTATCAAGATGCTTGATCTCGCATTTCATTATTTGATCCTCAGGCTCATCGATGGTTTCGTCCTTGGTGTCCTTGTCCCCATCCCACATGGTGTCATCCCCGGTTCTCGCCTCGACGGCGGTTTCATCTTTGCCATCTTTCTTCTCCGTTTGCGACTCGCCGTTTACCGGCTTCTCGTCATTGACGCCGTTAGTGCCATTGACGGGGTCATCCACCTTTTTGCCGTTGATGCTGATGACTTCGATCCTCTGGCGAGTATCCTCAACTGCGGCGGAGGAAGCCTCGCTGATGGCTCCAGGCGCCATGATGAAGGGTCGGGGCGATGCTGACCCGAGGTGGGTCAGATAAAATCCAAATGTCGAATTAGATGAATGTTGGAATGAATGTGAATAAATGAGATTAATTTCGTTAGAGATTTTGGATGCGTAGGTCAATAATCTTGATGAAGTTGAGAGGGAAGAAAATGAGAGTGTTGATGGGAAGGGTGAATCGTCTTATAAGGCCGTACAAGCTCTTTTACGTATCACTCCGGTATTGGTGCTGGGATTGAGAGTAAGCCTGGACCGACAAGGCATCAAGGGGCCCTTGCATGAATGAGGCTGCGCAGGCGCCAATGCAGAGCGGTCAGGACTGAAGACGCCTTCCCGTATCAATCAGCAGTACCTCTAAGGAAAGAACACATCATTAAACCAGGCAGCAGGCGACGAGTGGGTGAAAATCCACGAAGACACCAATCACTTCGAAATGCAGATAAGATAAATGTGGACCAAAGGCAACGGGCCTCCCAGGCTGTGTGACTCGTCACCGGGATCGATATCAGTCTTGTTTTTTTGTTTTTGTCCAGCTAGGCAGAACTCCCCCAAGTTAAGAAAACGGTGCGCGGCGCGCCAAGCACAGCCGCCTTTGGTAGGCGCAGTGCAACCACCGATGCCGATAGAAGTGAATGGCAAGGCATCGGGAGGCAGCCGGGCCGGTTCCGCGCATTCAATGCCGCATTGGACACCGCGAACTCGGATCCAGGAGCATGCGGCCGCTGCCGAGAGACTGCAAACGCCATCAGGCAATACATACAGGCATCAAGATCATGGGCATGTCATTGAAGGCATTCTTTGGACAACGCGCAGCCTTAACAAGGCAGCATACCTTTCCCCGCATTGCAGAGTGGCATTGCACGACGTCTGACATGCGACTCGGGCTCGAGCACGTGTCTAGGACTGAACGACCATACATATCCCCGCCCGGCCCCGCTCCGGCACCCGTTCTTCCGCTCCAAACAGCCCGGTAGGTGACTCAACCGACCCCGGGCCCCACCTGCACATCCGCAGTTGCCTCAAAGCCAAACTCGACAAAATCCCACCTCCCACCTCCCACCTCCCACCCCTCCACTCCAATAGGTACCCCAACCCTCGAAACCCCGCCGCCGACTCACAACTCCGACTCACACCTCGCTCCGACTCACAAACTCCCAACCCATCCCAACCACCATTCAACTCACCCAACATCCACTCACAACCTCCCACCGCCCCTCCTCTCCTCCTCCACCACCTACCCTCGCCCCCTAACCTCCACCTCCCTCGGCCCACCCCCCTCAAACCTCACCAACATCCACCCTCTCCGCATCCCCACCCCTTCCCGTGCCCCTCAGTTCCGCACCGGGCTTATCCAGCGCCAGCACGACGCGACCGTCGCGGCGGCGCACGAACAGCATGCTCGGGCTCATGACCTTGCGCGACCAGGGGATGGCGCGCGTGTTGGCGGCGGCGTCCCAGTCGAGGACGGGCGCGGTGGGGGTGCGTGCCAGGAACGCGAGCAGGGCGGCGCGCTGGTCGCGGTGGGCGGTTGTGGGGGTGTTGTTGTTCGGGGTGGCGGGGGTGGGGGTCGGTTCTGGTGTTGTTGGTGGTGGTGGTGGGGGCGGGGGAGGGAAAAATTCGGAGATGAGGTGCAGGAGGTAGAATTGGGGTGGGAAGAGGATGATCTCGCCTGCGCGGGCCCGCGCCAGCCAGGTGTGCGTGTTGTCGAAGGCGGCGGCGGTGTGTTCGAGGCCGCCGTCGTGCGTGGGCGCGGGGATGACCGCCTGGTTTTCTTGGAGGAGCTCGCTGGTGGTGGACGGCAGGGTGAGTGGTAGCATGTAGAGGTACATTTGGGTGGTGAAGCGCTTGGGCGGGCCAGGCGGGGTGATCCAGCGCGTGAAGGGGAGGAGGTTGTCTTGGATGGTTGTCAGCGATGGTGTTCCCCGTATGCACGGGGAAGAAGGAGGGTTGAAAACGGCGACATACCCACGTCGGGCTCGCCGCCTTGGTCGCGGAGCCATTCCGTAAAGCGGACCGTGTTCCCGTGGACCAGCTTGCGGCCGGCCTCCCTGATATAGTCGGGAACCTGCAGTAGGCCCAGTTCCCGGGGCTGACCTATCTTTTTGGCCAGGAGAATGCCGCTCTCCTCAAAGGTCTCCCGGATAGCTGCCAGGCGATAAGCCGGGCCATCCTCATGTACAGCTGGGCTGTTGGCGGCAGGTAGAGGGCCGTCTTGAAATGAGGACAAGTTTCCACCTGGAAAAACATGCGCCGATGCGAAAGAGCTCGACGTATCCACCCTGTGCAAGAGCAACACCTGGTTGGTAGGCGAGAGAAGGAGAATGCTGATGCGGTCTTAGCAAACGTTGAATTGTGTATCTCCCGCAGTGGCCCGAAGCACCCGGCACTCACCTCGAACTCGGCCGGGCTGGCGGCGGCGGCTTCTTTGCCTTCTGTTCACCTTTCCGGTTTTGGTCCTGTTCAAACATTGTTGAAAATAATCTCTTATCTCGGGTCCCTGTTAGTCGAGCCGCGGGATGGATCTTGGGTTTGAAATCCCTGGTTGTTGAATTCAATTGACCTGGGAATGCGGGTGCGACGGCTGGGGACGAAAAGAAGCGAGATGTTGACAGCTGACAGCAGTTACCCTCCAATGGCAATCTTCGGAATGGCTGTATCGTGGTAAAGGTTGTGCACTTAGATGACGTGGCCTTCAAAATGTTCATGCTGCAAAGATGTGTTGTTGTGAAAGAAAGCAAACCCGGCGCGAGCGCTGAAACTTGGCATGCGGTTCAGCTGAGCCGAGGCTTCATCTTGTGTGACCAATCTCCCCGCGCCGCCCCACTCATGCTGATCCAAGATCCGGGGTAATCCGGTTTGGGACGACCAAACCGGCATCGTGGACGAAGGATAAAGGGGTGGTGGGACGGATTGGTAGGCATCGTTACTCATTTCTAGAATTGTACATGGTATGGAAACATAAGAGAACGCTCGCTAAAGTAGAACGTGATCCAAACCGGCGTGTGGCCGGGACCAACCACCCCAGAGCCCCTGGTTCAAACATTTCCAACCACTTCCCTCTTTTCCACGCCCTCTTTATCCCAGCCGAGTTAAAACCGCTTCCTCTCCTTCCCGCGCAAATTCACCCTCCACAAACAACACACACTCTTACTCTCGCACCACTTCTTCACATCCCCCGGCGCCACCTCCCCATCGAACCCGACCTGATCCAACCGCCCCGCGTTCAGCCACGCCGTAAGGTCCTCCAGAATGATCGGGTCATACATGAGCATCTTCTCATGCCAGCTCGGGTTTGCTGGGTCTTTGGTTGGCGGAGCGCTGGCAACCGCCCGCGTGATGTAGCCGAAGAGCGACACGTCTTGCGTCGTCGGGCTGGCTATGAGCGACGCCTCGGTGTCTTCTGTGACTGAGAGGTCTACTGCAGGTGGGGACGAGAAGAGGTCCGAATGCTGATCGGGGGAGGAGGGAGCGCTGGAGGCAAAAGGATCGTCAGACCCCGAGTCGGGAATTTCGAAGATTTGTTTGGCGGGTGCTTTGCGCCGCCGGGGAGTTGTCGGGGCGGGTTGGGTGGTGCACGGCGATTTTGCGCGCTTTGGGGAGGGCGGGGCCTTTGCCCTGGTCGCCCGTGTTGCGGGAGATGTAGTTGCATCCTTCTTGGGCCTCCCCCGTGAGCGCTTCTCAACCTGGGGCTCGTCGCTATCAACATCACTGATAGCAGCTGATCTCCGCCGGGGGTTTGTCGCCGCCGGGGCTGTAATACTTGAGACCGATGCAGCGGAATCCTTCCTGGGCCTTCCACGGGGCCATTTTTCCGGTTGGGGCACCTCACTTCCTGCGCCGCTGACCACACCCGCCTTTTTCCTGCCCTTTTTGGCCGGGGATGGGGCTTGCACCACTTCAGTCGTTGCTGTTAAGGAATCTTTCCGAGGCCGGCCCCTTGGCCGGGAGGGAGAGGCGGCTTGATTCGGGGCGGACGTTGACATGGCGGCTTGGGCGGCCGTACTTCCTAACGCAGTCTTGTTTCGGCTTTCCCAACACCGGTTCAGCAGCGCAATCATCGCGGTTCTCTTCTTGACCACCTTGAAGCCGTACGACGCCACCTCTTTCGCGAGGCGCGCATCGGTATAAAGCTCGAAGCTTGGCGGCGGCGGTGGTGCAGGTTGGGGTTGCTGCGGGGTGTTTGACTGGGATAGCAGAAGTTGGTGCTGCTCCTGATTACTCGGCGGCGGATCAAAGTCAGCCTCCTGTGGTGGGGTTTGCGGACGGCCACTGACCGCGAGGTTCGAATCCTTGTGTCGAACCGCTTGGCCCCCCGGGCGAGGCGGGCATGGGGGCAGTGTCTTAGGCGAACCAACTGGCGGAGAAATGGTGAGATCTAACGTATCGTCGGACATTTCGATCTCGATGTAGGCACTCTCTACCGGTGGCTTGTCTGCCAGAACCGCCTCTGGGCAGGGGGGCGGGGGGTTCTGCGCAAACTGGGCGAGCGTCAATGGAGAAGAACGCGTCAAGTCCAGCACCTCGGCGTCGAGCAAGTCGCCATCACCGTACCGAGCCCCGGCTGCCCACAGCCCTGCTCCCGATCTTCTTCGGATAGCGAGGTTGCTGTTCCCGGGACTCGGGGTGGCGAAAGGATCGCTATCCGCTTGGTTCGACACCTTCATCGCCTCGTGCAAAGCTCGGAGGAGCACTGGGTCATCCTCGGTTGCCAGCTGGCTTGCCGTTCCAAAGACGAAGTCCTGGTTAGACACTTGTCGCATGGCGCTCGTTGGGGAGAGGAGTATTGGCTCGGGTGGCGATTGCTTTTTCTTGGTTGCCCTTGGCTTGGGGGCCTTTTTAGCGGCTTTCGGTTTCGCGCTCGCGGACTTGCTTGCCGCCGTCAATTGTTCACTGGGGAGCTCCAGGTTGCCAGACGGGATATGCGTGTCTTGTTGTCTACTCAAAGTTGAACGCTCTGCCTCTTCCGGCCGACGGTAGGCCGCCGTTGCCAACTCCGTGATGGTCCGGGGCTTCTTCTTCACGACTTTGGGCTTTGTTGGGGATGCTTGGGGTATCTCTTGTCGGTGCCCGACGCACGATACCATCTCAACGAGCTTTCGTTTTCCCAGGACGTCCATACTGGTCAAAGGCAATGCAGCACCGATATAGCCGCTAGCTTCCATAGTTCGCCCATAAGTGTCTTGGAGGTTCTTGAAAACGTGGTCCTGTAAAGACAGAGCAGACGACGACACTTCTTTCTCCATGGATGAGTCCGCGAGACAGTGAACGCTTGCGCTCTCTCGGGGAGGCGTCCAGTCCATCCTTCGTGCCATCGCCGGCTCAAAAACGGACGGCGAATCATCTATCGGACCGGCGACTAGCTCAGGCGGTGCCGAGGTATGAGGGGTAAAATGCCTGCTGACAGTTTCAGCCTTCTTCTGGGCTTTTGTTATTTCCCTTGCCGCCGTCTTGGTGACTTTCCCTTTGGGTAAGGTGGTTTGCGCCAATGTCGCGTCCTTTTTTGCTCTCGGCTTTCTCCCAGATTTCTTGGGCGGTGCTACCGCAACCGGACCGTCCGCAACGGCCATGTCTAGTGCGAGCGGTGGTTCGATTGTTTCCGTCTTCCCCTTCTTCTTTCTCGCCCCGGCCGTTCTCGGTTTTTTTTTATCTCCTCCCAATGGCAGGGTCGGGCCTTCGACGCCGGATTTTATCGGCGACTCGGCAGGAACGGTGGCTAGGTCCGCCGCCGTGGTGGCGCTCTGAGATGGTCCTATATTGGATATTTCTGCACCTTCGAGATGACGGGCTCGCGAAGATTGCCATATGTTCGCGGCGCTCGTGAAAGCGGCTGGCGCATCGTTGGAAACCGGGGCGGCATTGCTTCCACTGCGCAAAGAGGGCTGCCTGGTCGCTTTCGGAAGGAGGTCGCAAATCGATGGAAAGTCGGGGGACGACGAAATGACGAGAACAGAATCGTGATGGGCCATCTTGACGGGGGAAGAAGAAAGCAGGCCACCGGTGGCCATGCCCAATCTATCCCGCAGAAACACCCCGCGGCGCCCAAGGCGTCCAACTTTTGCGCAAACAGTCCCGTGAGGCGACAGCTTCACAAGTTACACGATAATGCAGGGCATTGACATCTCGTATGGCTCTTGGATATCGTGTTTGAGCTGTTTCTAGATCGTCAATTGGATATTGTGTTGTTGCCTTGTCACCATTCTAAATCGTCAACAAACAAAAAGAGCGAATCCGAGAGCGGGAGAAGCCGAGGTGTGTTCCGCCCTTCCACGAACATCTCGCGCCGTCAGCTGACTGGGCATTGGCCCCACCTTTTATCGAAGTGGGGCTCATTTTTGGTCCGTGCCCATGCCTCGCCCACAGCACCCACCAAATCAGCAAAACTAATCGAAATTCGAGACTCGCTTGAAATTCTGCAGTCCTGCTCTCCGGCACCGCAAAGAACACCCGAACCCGTCACTTCGCAGCACTCATCACAATCCGCAAACATGGAGAACGACCGTGGCGAAATCGTCGACCTGTAAGCCCGCTACACCCGACGACAATTGCCCCGGCCGCGACCCGCGATCATGCTGACACCAGGCCTCCTCCAGTTACGTCCCCCGCAAGTGCTCTGCGACGGGCAGAATCATCCGGTCCAAGGACCACGGTTCGTGCCAGATCACCATCGCCAAGGTCGATGAGAACGGCCGCGCCATCCAGGGCGAGAACATCATCTACGCTCTGTCGGGTTTCGTCCGCGCCATGGGCGAGAGCGACGATGCCCTCAACCGCCTCGCCCAGCGCGACGGCCTCCTCAAGAACGTCTGGAGTGCCCAGCGGTAGATTACGCCTGCTAGCGATTTTGGAGGGGTAGATTGTGCGTTCGCCTTCGCTTTCCGCTCCCGTTACCGGCCAGTCGCTGACACGGCTCAGATGTGCGTTTTAACGACCGGCACCGCGACATGAATTAGACGGAGGGCGGCGGGACGACGGCCGAGCATGGATTTGGGGCTTCCTTTGGAGTGCATCTTTGCCGGTTACTCGATGGCGTCAACGGACATTGTCTCTCACAACGAATAAACTGGCATCGTGATCAATCTCGGCTTCTGCTCGATCATCTCCTGGCCCTCAACCTCGTGATTCCGACCGGCTAGGGAAGGCTCCCCTGATCCACTCCCTGTATTTGGGGAGCCTGGGCTACTTCGATAGCTCCCGCGCCGTAGATTAAGCCTAGGCCACGAAAAAGCCGTGACGAAAAAGTTGCTCGTCATGGTACAGATACGGGTCTGACACCTCTCTAAGAGCTCGCTCTGCGATCAGTCGCTACCCTCTCCCGTCAAGCGGTGGTGAGCTTTGCTTCCGGTGCATTGCCCCGCCAGGGCAATGTTGTCTTCCTGTGTGCTAAGTAGCTCGGGGGGGAGTGCTCCCTTGTTTTCCCCATGTCCTCCCCTATACGACCCCGATTATCTCCCTTGTCACCAATTCCAGTCCAACCTCCGAGTACCAGGCCTTAGGCTCCCCAACAGCCTAATATAACTTTTCTTCGCTCCTCATGGGGACAACAACAGACGACATACAATGCCCTCACTACTTTTAGCTTCCACCAAGTGGTTCGGTGATACTCAGGTCACAGAGCTGTAGTATGGCTTGTCTTGAGTGCAAAGGCAACGGCCTGTTCAATAAAAGATTACCGAGTGTTCCCCCCATGCATGTTAGGCAACAAGTGAAAGGTGTAAGGCTGATTCTAGGACTCCCAAAGCGGACTTGCCGGCGTGCGTCTCCGCTGTAATCGGCAAACTTGGACGTAAGGTACAGTGGGGATCCAAAAGTATCCGGCCACCCCGCTTTCATTAAACGCGAAACACGTCTCGCGGTTTCCTACCCTTAGCTTTTGAACCACGACAATTCAACAAGATGAAGCTCAATTTGGCCGATTTTGCTGCTGAATTGACTGCCGGACGCGGGAGATTACAGGAGCTTTCTCCAGGCGCGCGTGCAGCCATTTGCACACTTGTTGCGGCCGGGCAGAGCGAACGCGCCGTTTCTCGCCTCTTTCGCGTATCCCGCGATACCGTCGCCCGCTGTGTTGAGCACTGGAAAACTCACCGAACGTTTGATTTGCGACCCCGGAAGGGCCGGCCGCCGGTTCTAACTCAAAGGGAGAAACGGTATATCGTTTTACTTGTCAAAAAAAAACCGAACCATTGCGAAAAAAGCGCTTGTTAACGCAACTGGCAAGGTTGTCTCCTATTCTACCATCCGCCGCTGCCTCCGGTCACACCACATCCGCAAATGGAGAGCTATGAAGAGGATTCCTTTGACCAAAGAAGTGGCAAAGGATAGGTACAATTTTGCATGCGATTGGCTTGAGAATATCGACGAGTTCCTTCAGGTTAGTGGTGTTGAACTTACCTCCTATTTCTTACCCCGCTAATCGTTTCAGACGATGTTCTCAGACGAGTGTTCCTGTCAGAATAACACTTCAAATCCGACTAGCTGGGTGTTCCGATTTCCGTCCGAGAAGTTCGATAAGCGTTTCGTCAACCTCCAGAACCATGTGAAAGCGAACATCTCGATCATGCTTTGGGGAATGGTCTGGAAAGGGGGGAGAAGTGACCTCATCGTGATGGAGCGCGACGAAGATGCCCCGAGGCGAGGATACACTGCGAGATCTTACCAGAAGGCGCTCCAAGAAGGTCTCCTACCTCATTACAACGATACCCGGCATTTCCAGCAAGATAACGCAAGGATTCACGTCTGCAAGGCAACGGAGGAGTGGCTCCAGACGCGGGGGATTTCGTGGATCGAATGGCCTGCACACAGTCCGGATCTGAATCCGATTGAGCACGTTTGGGCAGCTCTGAAGAAAAACCTGCGAACGTTATTCCCAGAGCTATGGTCCCTGAAGCAGAACTGCGTATCACGGTCAGGATCACCGTGGTAGGGGCAAGCTGGTATATTGCGTGGTTGCACGAGGAACCGAATGTGGGAGGCGAGGCGCACTCAGGGAAAACCCTGTGGCTGCGCACAGACCAGCGCAGAGCTACGTACAGCCCACCTCGGGGTTCAGCCGTGCAACCCTGACCCTACAAGGAACGGGCTGTGCCCGTGACACTGCGTAGATATAGCAAAGTTCAAAGAGTGCTTGCATACGGCGTGGGAGGCTATCCCACAGTCGTTCATCGACAAGCTGATCGAGGGAATGCCACGCCGGCTAGCCGCTGTCAAAAAAGCGAGGGGGTGGTATACAAAATATTAAAGTTTTTAAACAGGGCTCTTAACAACATCTATTGGTTATGCGTCATGATTTGGTGATGTTGAGATATTTGCTGTTAAAGCCTCCAAGATATAATGTAGGTGGCTGGGAAAAAGCGGGGTGGCCGGATACTTTTGGATCCCCACTGTAGCAGGGGTCTGGCGCGCAGACCGTCTGGCGGAGACGAGATTTCAGTTACTTGACGCATGCGCTGAACGTGCAAGGGGCGCTCGTTGCTTGATTGTCATGTCTGGTTGGTGGGTTGACCGGGTTCGAGTTGTCCAACAGGGAGGCCAGGGATGCGGTTGTGGATCCTTCTGGCGTGGATGTGCCTTTGGCCATCTGTGCTTGAGCGTGACGATGAATTCGTGTTAGTTGGAGGGGCCGTGGAGTTTGAACTTTTCGGGGAGGAGGTCTGGTTGGATGGATGGAATCCGGATTCCGGAGGCACTGGGCCTATAGGGCCTTTGCACGCTAACTACATCCGGATCAAATCGTTTTGCCTTTAACTCGTACAAGCCCCCTACTTCTTCCCTCTTTCTCGCTACACCATCTACCTCTTGCCTTGGGTGTTGTTAGCAGATCAGCTTGGAGGCTACTTTCTCCAAGTGTTCAGCGTCCTATCTTCAGCAGCTAAAGCGGGTGGAGGAGGTCTGTCACAGGCGTGGTGTCACGAATATGCCAACAGATGGGGCTTGGGAGGCGCAGGGCACCAGAGCCAATCGCTAAACGACCCAATCGGATCGAAGGACAAGGACGCCGGGATGCAAGTGCTATGGTGCTATGACGCTAAGACCAGACATAGCACTTAGCAGCGAGAAAGAGGGAAGAAGTAGGGGGCTTGTACGCGTTAAAGGCAAAACGATTTGATCCGGATGTAGTTAGCGTGCTAAGGCCCTATAGGCCCAGTGCCTCCGGGCGAAATAAATCCCATCCATCCATCCATCCATAGCACTTAGCAACATAGCACCAGGCATCCCGCACCAAAGGTACGGCGGTACCTTTGGGTTTCAATAGGTATATAGTCACCCGTTCTGGAGAGCTCTGGGAGTTCTCCAAGTTAGCAATCACAGCTACATTTTGCTACAAGCTCGGAAGCCTACTGTTGAGACAAGTCTTTGTTGTGCACCTTTTGGCTGCACCGAACCTAAGCACCCTTGAGAAATTACCTTCAATCGAAGCTGAACCCTAACAGGACAGGGTCCTGAAGTAGGTTCGTCACACGTGGCGGCGATTTCGAGGTCGGCTTCGACGTTCTGTCGCAGCTGATCGTCATCTTCTTCTTGATGTTCGTCGAAAGAGAGAGCTAGGTGTGGGAAGCTGGAGAATATGCTCAACCTATAAACAGCTCCTCGAAGCGGATATTCCCTCCCATACCCTAACTTTCTCGGCCCAGGAGAAGGGAAGTACCCCGCGAAGATCTAGTCCTTTATCCTACTCTTTTGGCTAAAAGCCAGAAATGACCTCTCTGGCTTGTTTCTCGAACGCAGCAGGTTCCCTGGTTTTCTTGTTGTTTTATCTAGACTATGTCACGGATTGGTTGCATAGTACCAGATTCACGATTTGTGACCTTCCATCGGCAACACGGAGTATCTCTCGACCCATCTATTCCCAAAAGCAATGAAAAGGTCACCGGTTTCAACATGTCCAGGTCGTTACCAAACCTCCAATGCCGTGGGGTTAGTCTCGTTACCTCATAGCTCATCCGCTCGGGGCGGTATAAAGATACTGGGGAAGATATCGGAATCGGAAGATGATGGGGCGGGAAGGGGAATGGGGCCACTCAGGTAGGAGCGGGGTCCCATTTCTCCGCGGCCCAGCTCCCGCGCTATTGCGGGTGATCTGGCGAGAGAGAGAGGAGGGAGAAGAAAATGTCTCCTGGGGCTCAGCTCTCTCCCCCAGTTCGCATCCACACGGGTCCTCGAATAATCGCCGGGGGTCCCGTCAATGGACGTTCCTATTGCAACCATCTAGTGGGGCGATGATACCTATGTTTCAGCGAACCTCCATTCTACACCATTGTGTTGTGTGACCGATATGTAGGCATGCAGTTCAGCTCTCAGCTACCTCGTCTCGAGGCTTGGCAATGGCTATTTTGTCACCAGGGAAGAGGGGGATCGGCGGAGTAAGGGATCAATATCTCTGAGCTTAGAATGCGGTGTTACCCAACAGGATTTGGGCAAACATTGGGGCAGCACTTGAGGTGGGATACATTAGCTCATAGGACTGTCTAATCGCGCGTTTCCCCGGTGTTTGGCTAGGGGTATCGACCAAATTGGCCGGATCGACGGTGAATTATATGCACCAGGACTTGTCGAGATATTACCATATCGTCTTGTGATTGTTACTACCCAAGCACCTACCAATGGCGAGGAGTGCTGAGTGGGATGCAGGACACGGCGGGGTTGAGCTTGCAGGACTGAGGCTGGCTGACTCCCGCAGTAGCTGGAGATCACAACCCGACTGGAAGGAGAACGCGTGGAAGAAATGGCAAGGTGCATGGTTGGTCAACAATGCATTGCTTTCTCATACTCAGTGGGTGCCGCTTCTGCTGCACCATTTCAATCAGGCCAATCAAGAAAATTGCCTCCGCGCGACAGCCGGGACGGAGGGCGTGGTAGGCCTGTGATTTGCCATTGGACTCGGAAATGACCGTCTATAAAAGGAGAGGTAGGAGGCCAGGAACGACACAAGAAAATTCGTAATTCCTTTCTTCTCAAGCTTCCCTGAAGGTAAATAGGATCTTGAGTTCAGAGCTTCTTTATTGTCTGCAAGAAACTCTCTTACCATATATACCATCCAAACTTCTCATTCATCATGTCAAGTGAGCAAGGAATCATCCTCAAAGACTATATATACTTCTGCTAATCAATCTGTCCGATCCTCGCAGTGCTTATTGGTCGATGGTCCGGCTCCTTTAGCTACCCGAATGACTCTGAGAAAGAAATCACCTTCACCATCGAGAAGTCGGCCAACGGCTCCCTCTTCATCGGCACTGGCCACGAGCCCAGTGGTGAATTCGACATCATCGCGGGCCAGGTCATCGAAAGCGAAGGACAGGATATCGTCACCTTCGCCCAGATTTACAAATCCATCTGGGAGGGTCAGATCTGGAGCTTCCGTGGCGTCGTTGGCGGCAACGGCGGCTTCATCACCGGCCAGTGGTTCGACTCCCCCGCCGACGGACGCAACCGAATCGGTAGTTGGAATGTCCAGCGGATCGAGTAGCCCCTCGCCGGCAGCACGAGCGGTACCATCTCCTACCCCGGTGGAGACCACAAGGGCTTGACCCCCGCCATCCCCGTCTTTACCGTCGGCGACGATTTCAAGGGCACTGGAGACGACGCCGCCGCGTTCAGCTGCAAGGGACCGGAGTAGATAACGTGAAAGCTTCCAAGGGCGGGATTTGGTGGGATGAAGAATGGCGGGGGCACGATGACTGAAGCCGCGGAGATCCCCATCGTTTAAGAGCCAATTTATCTTATTCAAATCTAAAAGCCCGTGAACATAAATACCTAACTTCGCTGTCCATGTATCCACCCTTCATGTTTCCCCTTCGGATATTGTGAGAGGACACATCCCACATCCTCGATATCCAAATCCCCCGTGCCCGTAATTACCTACCTATTACAGGGACAGTTCCGTCATTATCAGGGCCCTGTATAAACGCTTCGAGACCAACGTTACCGAGCCTGCTATTTCTCGCCAACCCAGGTTAAGCGTATAATTATACTGTAAGCAGCTTGGCGCAGCAGATGAAGTCCTTCCCGCCCGGGCAAACCGTAACGTTTCCGTCCCCTACTCGTACGATTTGCAAGTCAGCGTCTCATCCATGTACGAGCAGCGGATATCCAGAGCTGGAGCAAGAATATCTAGGCATCGCTTACCCGGATCCAACTCGGCACAGTCCTCCCTCCACAAACACCGAGAACTCAGCTGGGCCGCGTTTTTGCAGGGCTGCACATAGCAGGCCTTGATGGAAGCGGGGTCGTTGGGGCAGGGCCAGTCTGGCTTGCGGCCGGTCTGCGCCGTGCCGTTCCATGCGGTGGAGCAGACGGTTTCGTCCAGACAGATGCAATCGCTGCCCCAATTCTCGCTGCACCGTCCGCCGACGCCGCCGACCTGGCGGGAGGGGGTGCTTTGCGGCGCTGAAGATGTCGGGGATCTGGAGGTTGCGGTGGCGCTTTGGCCAGAGGTGGTGGCAGGAATGCCGGCGTCTGATGTCGAGGAAGCAGCGGCGTCTGCTTCTGCGTTGCTTGTTGGACGTGTCGAGACTCCGACGCCGACGCCAACGCCAACGCCGATGGCCACGAGTAATGCAGCGATCCCCAGAACAGCGAAGAAGACCCATCTCTTTAAGCCAAGAATCCTCTCTTTCTTCTCTGTTCCCACACCTTCTCCCGCTGCCCAGGGGTCTGACGCGTCTCCATCCCAAGTATATCCGTCTTGCGTGGGCGTTGATTGTGGGCGCCAATGGCCCGCGTCGGCTTGCTGGTAGTGGGAAGCGTCGTCGTAGGGTTGTGGTGGGACGGCGATCTTGTCATGTTCGTGGGAGGGAACGAAGGCTACCTTATCGTTCTTGTTGAAAGCGAGCTTGCTGGAATCCTGGGCGGGGACTACCTCGAGGGTGCTGTGATGATTGTGGTCAGCACTGCCGGCCAAACTACCCATCTCCGCCATCTGAGCGTTACAGTCTGTCGTGGGTGTGCCTCGTGGGCCGTGGGAGCGAGTTACCGTGATCGCAAGACGATAAGAGAATGTAAGAACCGGGTGGATGAGGGCCAAGGGGAAGCTGGCGTCGGCACCACTATTTTCAAGCTGGCCCCTCAGTTCCAGACTTCTGGTACAGCCTCGTGCCAGCACTGCCATGCCGGCACTTAGCTGAGGTTGCATGCATCACCGGTCCCAAGAAAGGGGCAGGATCGCCATTTAAAATGATGGGACCAATGGCAGTTGGCTGCGGCCATCCGATCCCATCACACAGAGCTGCTCTGCAACCCTCCCCTGCGAAAGCTGAACTTTGACTGGGCCACATTCAATCGACTTTTGGGAGGCTTTTATCATTCATGGCAGTGCGGCACAGGGGTCGGATTGGGTGCTCCAGCGCGAAACAGCTGAGTCCGGGAACACGGCCGAGCCTCGTCCAGCGGACATTGGGTACCGTAATATACACTCTCTTAGACTAGGAAGTGAGCTAACACTATCACAAATCTCCGATTGTACAACATCTCCCGAAAAGTGGATCAAGTCATTTCCGAAAGGTGGTGACAACACTAGAATCATTGAAGATAGGTACTCATGTTCAAAGCCGGGTTCGGGCGCCAATCCACATCTGCTCGGCGCATTCTCAATCAGCATTGAAACCATCCTCATCGTGCTGAATATAACTCTTCATAGAATACCTAGGTAACTACGAGTATCACCCTGTCAAACGCCTCCCGTTGCTCTGGCGGGATGGTAGTTAGCACAAGCCCCGTCCTCTTAACACGGACAAAACCACCATGATCCGATCTTTAAGTGAGTTTGCCGGCCTCAAGAACGGGCCTTGTCATCAGGGGGGAGCTTCCATGCTCGCGTTAAAAAAAGCTGCAGATCCAATCCCTGGTAATGCGTTGCGGGCTAGTCCTTCTAAACTGGGAACGGTCACATCAGGAAAGTAACATCAAGACGGATGGCTAACAGGTCGGCTCAGCCCGGCATGATCGAAGGTAACAAAGAGGGCTCCACGTTTAATGCATGGTCGGCGCTCTAGCAAGCTTTTGATGATGTGGTTTTTGATTATATGGTTTGGCGGTAAGCCTGCTTGTTGCAAGGAGTCGGCGGGGTTGTACATTGACGTCATGAGTTAGGGAGAAGGCCCAGTGCCGCTGCGTCACCACTCAGACTCACCACCAATGGAACATGGGTCCGCATCATTGTTGTGAGCCTCTGTTTTATTAGTAGAGCGCTCCTTTCTAAACCATATCCAAAACCATATCCAAACACCATCTGATACCCTAACTGGTTAGAAAGTAACCCTTTACTGTAAATCACATTTCAACAACAACAACAACACCCACCATGTCCGACTCCCACTTTAGCAAAAGCGGCAGTTTCGAGCCTGTCCCGCAAAAGGCACAGGCCCAAGACTTGCCAGGGTGAGACCTGATCAACTGTTATTTTATGAGCCTTTAACTTACGCGTTCACTTACGCCTTCTTACCAGACTCGAGAACAGAATGGAGCCCTCCAGCGAGTCAACAAAACTGGAGGGAGAGGGCCAGGCCTACGAATACCTCGCTGCTGGCAAGCTCAAGGGCTGCAAAGCTCTCATCACCGGCGGAGAGTCAGTTGCTTTGTGTCTCACGATAAAAGCACAACCGTGATATTAACATGCTATCTTTAGTTCCGGAATCGGTCGCGCCGTCGCGGTTCTCTACGCGCGTGAGGGCGCCGACGTGAGCATCGTCTACCTTCCCGAGGAGCAGACCGACGCCGAAGATACCAAGAAGATGGTCGAGAAGGAAGGCCGGCAATGTCTCCTGATTGCCGGTGATCTGATGGATTATCGCAAGTGCAAGGAGGCAATCCAGAAGCACGTCGACGCATTCGGCATCATTCACGTCCTCGTAAACAACGCTTCTAAGCAGATGATGTGCAAGGACTTTGCCGACATCGACCTGGACAACGTTGAGAGCACTTTCCGGAGCAACATTCTCCAAATGTTCGCCATGACGAAATATGCCTTGCCGCACATGAAGAAGGGCGGATCGTAAGCTAGCCCCTTTCCCCAGTCCCTAGCACATAACAGCTGAGAACCTCCTAGAATCATCAACACCACCTCGACAGTCGCATTCCGCGGCACGAGCGCCATGGTCGACTACTCGGCCACTAAAGGCGCCATCGTGTCCTTCACACGGTCACTGGCACTGAACTTGATGCCCAAAGGCATCCGGGTCAACGCCGTAGCGCCAGGCCCTGTCCACACGCCGCTGCAGCCGGCGTCGCGGCCGGCCGAGCAGATGGAGGGGTTCGGTGGCAAGTCGGGCATTGGCCGCATCGGCCAGCCGAGCGAGATCGCGCCGAGCTTTGTGTTCCTGGCGAGCAAGGACTCGGAGCTGTATTATGGACAGGTGTTGCATGCGTATCCGCTGGGGGATTGAGTTTTGGGGGAATGAAGGCTCGGATGTTGTACGAAAAGTGGCTTGATGTATGATTAACGCGGGAGTGAGATAGTGGCTAGGAAAATGACTACCATCATTATATATTTCTAGCGATCGAAAAGTTGCCGAAATGACCTTTAATGAGTTGAGCGCCCCTGAACTACCCGAGCTGCCTCCCCCGCCAAACGCACCGACCCGATCCTATTCACACAAACTATTCCCACATCCCTTCACAAGTTCCCTTTGACCAACGTCACCACCTCCGGAAACCTTTCCGTCTCCTCCCCCTTAAACAACCCGCCCACCACCCCCCTAAACACCCCATCCATCCACTCGGTCGTATACGCCGTCAGCAAACGCACAACCCTCGCCGGCTCCAGCGTACCCAACAACTCCCCAAACCCCTCCCCCCACTGCCCTGCGGCCTCCAACAACACCGGCACATCCGAAAACGTATAATGCGTCGTATTCCTCACATACATCACCACCTTCGGCCCCCGCAACCTCTCCCACGTCGCCTCCCAACTCTCATCCAAAAACCCCTGATGCGACAAAAACAGCACCGGCTTCTCCATTATCCGCACCGGCTCCTCCCACCCCTCCCCCTCCCCCTTCCCCTCCACCGACGCCGGCGCAGGCGAGCCCATAACCGTGCCATAGCCCAATTCACCGCGCCTCGAATCCTGGAATCACCCGACTCGCCGCCACGATCACGGCCGCACCGCCTGCCGAATGCCCCAGCATGGCGACACGGTCGGTGGGGAAGTGGCGGGGGCCGCGGTGCGGGAGGAAGGTGGGCCATGGCGGTGGCGTTGGACAGCTGGGTGAGGAAGGAAGGAGGCGTCGGCGGCGCGGGGGTGTAAATCCCAGGTGGGGTGGGAGATAATAGAGGTGTTGGTGTGGATGGTGGTGTGGTTGGTGTGGGTGTTGGTGGCGGGGGGGTAGAGGATGATGTTGGCGTCGAAGGGGTGGTCGATGGTGATGACGGTGAAGCCTTGGCTGGCGATGGAGGCGGCCAGGGTGTTGTAGTAGAGGCGGGGGATGCTGTAACCGGGGGAGAAGAGGAGGATGCGGTTGGCGTCGTGGGGGGAGGAGCATGTGGGTTTGTTGGGGGGGGTTGGACAGACGGGTAGGCGGGCTTCGAGGAATAGGGGGGAGAGATCGGCGGTGATGTTGAAGGTTTCTTGGAGGAATGGGCCTTGGTATTTGGCGACTTCGTCGGGCATGATTGGGACGGGGACGGTGGACTCGCAGGTAGTAGGCTGGAAGACGGATACCATCAATGCCCGAGGCGTCGGGGATGCGGCATAGGGGTCATCGCGGCTGTAGTCAACGAGGGGGCCCGTCGTTAATGTGACATTGTATTTCCCAGATGGGGTTTGGGAGCAGATATGCCGCGGCTGCGCTGGCAAGTATGAAGAAAAGAATTGATAGGAATTGCATCTCTGGAAGTGTTGCGGTGCTGTGCTTGTATTCTGTTGCTGTCAGTTGTTTGTGTAAGTCGACGGAACTTGGATAACGAGTAGAGAAGACAACCGGAGACGAGTGGACAAGCACCTTGGATGATAGGGTCTGTTGAGTTTCTTATTCTGAGATTCCCGTCGGTATTTAAGCACTTGGTTAACAACTCGCCCTTTACCCAGGTCTGCTGCTCGTTCTCACGCACGTTCTGATTCACGTAAACCTCTAAGCTGATAACACAGTAATACCGATACAGAGGTAACGAACAGGCATTTGATTGGTTTGTCAGCCGTAAGTGGAGCCCAGCTCGGTGTTTTTAAGTGGGGATGAGCTCGGTGTTTATCAAGCTAAGCTGCATTGGGTCAGGGGTGAGACTCATGGGAGTGAGATTCATCATCATTCAGGGGGTGGAGGCCATCTCGGTCTTTGCTACATATCCAAGCGCAGCATTTCCAGCGGAGCAGCTGGGGGTTGAGGATCCTTCACTTCTCCTCGAATCTGCCCCGTCAGCTCTGCCACCAGACCATGATGGAAGCGCTGCCAAATACCTCCCAAGCTTCTATTGCCAATCCAGAACCCGACACTGCCGGTAGTGAATCTCGATTATCCGCTCCTCCACCAAAGCGGTCTCGTGTCGTCGTTTGGCAGTCGAAACGAGGTTGTGTGACGTGCAAGTATGGGCCCCCACACCTTGCCATCTCGGTGCTAGCCAGCTACTGCGTTGCAAGATAGGATCCAACTGACTACATCCAGAACACGCCGGGTTAAGTGTGACGAGCAAAAGCCTCTTTGCCGCCGATGCGTCCAAGCGGGCCGGTTATGCGGTGGCTACAAGGACGAAAGCAAAGTGCCGGTGGCTTTGAAGCCTGCCCTAAGGATAGGGGTCGCGGCAGACAGCGGGACAGAGAGGCTAACCTACCTCGCTACCCATGTCCTGTGTCTGGACAACAACGGCCGCCCCGTGCAAGAGGACGGTGCCTGGGGACGTATATTTCTCCAGTTATCGAACCAAGTCGCATGTGTCAAGGCTGCAGCCGCCGCGTTTGGGGCCGCGTACGAATCATTGCTTGACAACGCCATCGAGCGAAACCCCTGTTCCGCCTGGCGTTACTACGGCTCGGCTCTGACAAAACTCCAGTCGGATATCAACAACGGGACTGCCGGGCCGGAGTCGCTAGCTTTGGCATCCATGGTCCTAGCCTGCACCGAGATCCTCAGCCAACACGAAACAAATGCATTCGCCCATTTTCTTGGGGCAGTACAGATCCTGACCCAGAGCCAACACGGATGCCAGGGGGCTCCTAGGTCATCTGCTCACATTCTCAGCACGGTCAAAGACGAACTAGTCAAATTTGACGTTTTGATTGGCAGCTACGCCATATCTCAGACACCCGCATTCATGTATCTGGAATCCAACTGGCAAGGTGCCGCCCCTGGAGATGATGTGTTCCACGAGCCGGAGCTTGCCATCAACTCCGCGATGCTCTGCCTCCATCGATCATACCGGTTCGTGGAGTCGGCTGCAAAACTGCGGTACACGTATCCGAGCTGGAAAGATCATGATCCCGTTATGTGCGAGGGCCAATCCGATGCCGTGGCCCAGTGCCGTTCAGTTCTTAATGGCCTGGGGGCGCTGGCCACGAGGTTGCAAGCCCAGTATTCTTCCGCTATATCCACACTAAGGGATTCAGAGACACTGGCCGAGATTTATGCTCTCCGCACGCAGCTCACGGCAGCTATAATTTATATTCTCTGCACCCACAGCCCGCTCCAAACGACATACGATGAACACCAGCTTCTATTCCAAAGCATCGTGAGTGACGCGGCAGCCTCAGCGCGGCTGAGGCGGCGGGCCCAAGCCAGGCGCCCTTCAAGCGCTTCTCAACACGCCCCGGCATTGTTCAGCTCCCTTCTTCATCGTCAGCATGAAGTGCAAGAGATTCCGCCGCTACGTTGCCCTGGGCAACGAACGTTGCTCAACGAGCAGAGTCGAGAGGGGCCGACCGATGGACACATCATGGCGGCGATTGGTGCTCGGCTGGCTGCGATTGAGACAGCGGGCACTGTGCCTTCTCCTCGAGGGGCGCCACAGGCTGCATGTAACGTCCCCGAGGATCGGAGGGTCCACGGTTATGGTGTATCCCCTCCGAAACTAAATGGCGAGGGCCATCGTGTTGTGGAAATTGAGTTTAGCAGGCCCAAGGTGCCTCTTGTGCAAGGGTGGGGGGACGTTGATTATACAGATCTGGGTAGTTGGGTGTTCTGGTCGGAAACTGTCAACATATAAGTACCTTAACTAGGTACCTACCTAGGTAAGCAAGGTAGATTTCAGGGGTGCAATCACCGCAGCGCTGCCTCGGTTTCTACCTCCCCTGTATCTGTATAATAGCGAAGCTCACCCAGTCTTTCATACCTGTCGATTCGTTGATACGTTGCCTCCGGGCCTAGGTACCTTAGCGTAATTTACAGAAGCGTGGTTTGGGGATGACTCTAAACTAGACTTCACGCAGAGGATGAGATGGTTTGAACATATCAAATCACTAACGGTGCAGAGGACAGGGGATTGTCCACCCAAAAGAAATGGGTTGGGTAGGCAAGACCCAAACGTACCTAAGTAAACAGGTAGGTCCAACCCGGAATGTTTCTTTTTGCAGAAGATACCTAGGTAAGAGGCCATGTAATTATATATTAACAGCAAGAATGTAACTTAGTAAGTGACAGTATCTCAAATTGATAACAAGTAACTATTACAATATGGTCACAGAAATGATTCTATTGAAAAACGCTTTCGTCTGGTATAACCCACCCCAACCCAAGTGGTTTTGGGTCCAAGTTCTACCCACTCGCACCTGAACCGTCATAATAACCCAAATGGCCCATAGGCCTTCCGGGCCTAACGTCGGTGCCTAAAAATGGAGCAGCTAGTATGGCCCTGCTGGTTCCTTTACGCGCCAGCTCGCAAAGTACCTAGGAATTCATCACTTTTGCTTCTCTGGTCAGTGGCTGGGATCTCCAATAACTGCCGTTTTCTTTTCGGATCTTTTACGCTTGATTACCTCTTGTAGCAACCAGCACCGCTTAAGATGACTACCGAAAGCATCCTTCTAGATGAAGCCATCGTGGCTAGTGAGACCACTTGTTCCCTAAGTTAGGTGACAAAGGGAGTGCTAAGTTGCCATCCCACTTCCCAGCACTTCCAGTGCCGGACGGTAGCAAGATCGTTTCTGTGAAACGGCATGGAGAAACAAGTGTATTCAGGCATCAGACCCGTACCCGCCTGTCTCCTCACCAGTGTTAACCCTAGTTTTCCGAGCAGTGGTCAACCGGGGCAAAGATCGATGTCGTCACCGGAGATGGGACCAAAAGCTTCTTCGCAAAAGTAATCAACACCCCTTACCTGACAACGTTGAGTCACTTACCGTCATTCAGCTGATCGAAAACGAAGAGTACATTCCCATGGCCGAGGCAGAATACGAAGGCCAAAAGGCCATCTCCGCCATTATCCCCGACCACGCCATACCCCCCATCGCCTGGGGCCACTACAAAAACGTCCACACCAAAGCCTGGTTCCTGACCCATTTCCGGCCGCTCAAGCCCTTCCACCCCGACGACGAATCCCTCTCCGAGTTCCTCACGACCCTCAAAACCCTACACAAAACCTCCACCTCACCCACCGGCCAGTTCGGCTTCCACACAACCTCCTTCTCCGGGCCGCCGGCCATGGTCGTCGACTGGACTTCGGACTGGGCCCTATTCTGGACGCGGGAATTGCGTGCTGCACTGGCGTACATGCAGCGCATGCTGGGAGATGAGGACGCCGAGCTGCAGGGGCTCGTGGAGCAGCTCGTGGAGCGCATAGTCCCGCGCTTGCTGGTGCCGCTGCAGACGGGCGGGCGCACCATTCGCCCGGCCCTCTGCCATGGGATTTGTGGGATGGGAATATCCAGCTTGATGGTGAGACCGGCCGCGTGGTGCTGTTTGACCCGTGCTCATTTTATGGGCATGGCGAGATGGATTTACAATGTGTGCGTGCGGAGAGGGGGGTGATGAACCCGGGCTTCGTAGAGAGGTATGCGCGGGAGGTGGGCAAGTCCGAGCCCGAGGCGGATTTTGAGGATCGAGTTGCGCTATATGCCATGTAAGTTCTTTGTTGGTTTTGTGTGTGCAGGTTTTTAGGTGTTGCTGGCTAAATTTAGGACTGGTAGAGGTAGCGATCTGTCGACGGCAGGAATGTATGGGCATCGAGCTTATTTATTAGACAGGTAAGTTTAGCGGGATTGACACTGACTGAAGAGGCACTGACGTACTGCTTAGGATGAAAGAAGAGATGCGCAGGCTGCTTGCTAAACACCCCGATGGGCTGGCCGGGTTTGAGGGAGACTTAACTCCAACTGGGGATCACAAGCTGGAAGAGGAGTCGGCGATGGACGCGTAGTTGTGCTTAATACTATAACAAGGTCTTTGGTTGAGGGGTGACGCAGTTCTAACCATGAAATAGCAATAAATCTGCCATCAGCATCAGGCCAGCCGGTGGTGTGGATGATGGACCTTGTAGGGTCAATGGGAAGTTCTCGGTGGCCAAACGCATCGTTCTCATACGAGAAGTTCGCCACTAGACACCCGCAACGAAGGTTCGGGCTCTCGAATTGCATCCTCAACGCCTAGCCTGATACCGTGGAGTTGAAACAAAAGCGCACGGGGCTCATGTTTTGTAAACATCTAATGGCCACCCTCACTTGAATATTACACGCCTGCCCCGGGGGCAAAGACTTCAATCTCCTCCCCTTCATCCACAACGTCACTCCCATTCCACTTATCACCGATGTCAGAATCCTCCAGATCCTCCACCACCACATCCTCCCCATCATCCCCTTTCCCTCCCTTCTCATCCCCATAACTCTCCGACAGCATCGTCCCCCTCACATAATCATCCTGCCCCACGCCCTTTCCACCCCCCCTCAACCACACCTTCCTTACCCGATACGCAAACACAAAGTCATCCCCCCCCTCAAACTCCATACTCTCCCCCCTCTCCCACTTAACCCCCCCAGCCGGCCCCGACGCCACCAGCACCGACGCCCCCATCGCATCCACCCCCACCTCCGTCTGCGCCGCCAGCCCCCTCGTCCACACCCTCTTCACCTGCGCCCCGGACACCGTCTTCACCCCCACCACCACGTACACCGCCCGCCTCCCCAACCCAAGCCTCCCCCCACCACGGCTACCACCATCACCACCACCACCACCCCCCACAAGCCGCCTCCTCACCTCGGGATCCTGCACCGCCGCCGCCAGGAACTCCTCGCTGGGGAACCACTCTTCGGTGCGCACGCTCGCAAAGCGGAAGACGTCCTGGCGGGAGTGGGAGGTCTCGAAGTCGAGGCGTATGCCCAGGCATTTGGATGAAGCGGCTCCAGACGCCGAGGGTGTGGGAAGAGGGATTGGGCCGCGGGTCCATTCGACGTTTGTGTTTGGTGGTGGAGGTTCGGGTGAGGTTTGGGTTTGTAGGGGTGGGTAGTTGGGGAAGGGTGTCGTTTCGGTTGGGGGGGTTGAGGATGTTGAGGTTGAGGTTGAGGTTGAGGTTGGGGTGAGGCCGGCGAGGGTGGGTGCGGATGCGGCGAGGAGGGGCGGCACGGCCCGAGAGGGGAGATGATTATGTTGCCGAGTGCGAGGGGGCCCGAGGGGGGGTAGTCCCAGGAGGGGGCGAGGAAGTATTGCTTTTTTGGGGCGGCCATGGGGGGTGGTTGGTGGTGCGTGGCGTTGGTTTCGGACAGTGGTTGATGATCGGAGCGCAGGCCGGGCGGATGAAGGTGCCTTGATCTACCGAATGGAGTCCCAGCCTTAAGGTAAATAACGCCTTTGAGCAGATGTGGGCTTTTTGACGCTGGCGAATGGCAGCAAAGGTTCTTGCATGTCGGCGACAAGAGGATGTCCCTGGTTGTTTCAGGGGTGGGCCACCGCAGCCAATGAACCACAGCGCTGGTTGCCTCCCTTAATCACGTTGCACAAAGGCAGCCTGTGGCCTTGGGAGCCGCTAAAACGAGGCCTGGGTACATACGGGTCAGCTTGGGAGTCCCCAACTAATTGCAACGATGAGGCAGCTGGTGTCTCACGACAGCCAACTCACGATATGTCCCCACGAAGTTGTTTTATTTGATCTACCCACAAGCGTTCTTGTCCTCATATTTTCCATATCGTAGTTCCCACACGATGGGCACCCTCGGAGGGTGCGCCATAATTGTTGGTGACCTTTCGTTTGCTGGGCCTGGCGCCCCCTGGCCCCAGGAATGGGCCGGCTGAAGGGGGCTGTGTTCAAATTGGTGCTATGGATGCGTGGAGCGTGCCGTGGGGATCGGGGATGTAACAAGAAGAAATATTCACTTCATGTGACTGAGTATTTAAGCTCAAGACACAGATATTGTACCCAGAGATAAGACTGCACACAAACCCACCCCCAGTCGGTACCCACGCCATAGAAACCTTCTGCCTTCGTCCCAAAAGATTTACCCCGCTGCTGGTCTGTACTCCCATCGTAAAACCCGTCCTTCTGTGGTTAACGGAAGCCTCCGAAAACACGACCCATGAAGTCCAGAAATTCGATATGGTAAGGCCTCGTGTGCCATCAGCTAGGTGCCTCCCCGGGACTTGGAGCAGTGCCTGCCTCCCTTGTTGGGACCTGTGCGGGTACAGTATCACAGCCGGTAGGGACGGAATGGACTAATTGCCTCCGGTGCTCGTATTCTTGGCTCTCGAGGCTTGGGGTCCGACGAAGAAAGGTAAGGGCAAAAAGGCTGGTGTGAATGGCGACCCCGATACCCAACTTTGCGCCGACCGACAGCGAGGCAGCGGTACTCACCTTCCAAATTGCCACGGCTTGAATTGGGAGGAAGCCGAGAACGCCTTTCCAAGTTATGATTGCGATTGCCTTGGCCAGATTCCCCCAGCTCGAATCTTGTACTTTCTTGAACATGGTGTACGGTAGACCTAATATCATGAGGGGAACGGCCATTGCGCCGATGGCCACGCTGATCTTGTCGGCGTCGGAGAGGGAACTGGTAAAAAGCTTCCACAGCGCGACGCCCATGGTGGAACAGAGGACTGCTCTAGTCGCGTCGAACAAGAGGGGGTGCGCTGGAAGGCGGACGCGGTGATTGGAGGTCATATGACACCAAGCAATCGAGTTCATATGGTCTGGCATGACGCTGTGAGACGACGCCAGGGTGAAAATGGTTGGAAGACGAAGGATAACCAGACCCAGACCAATTCTGGTGTCGACTGGGAGTGTGCTCGTCGCGAGGGCCCAAAGGCCCACAGCGGCGCCGGCAAAAAGGGCAGCCTTGATAACTCGCTGACTCGGGTGTGGCCGGCGTAGCCTGTTGGAGATGATGCTCCCGGGCTCTAGTAGTTGCGTAATCACTGCTAGGCTGGGAATAACGCCGATCCTGGTCTCATCGGTGGCGGGCAGGGTAGCAGCAAGCCAAACGGCTACACCCAGGAGGCCAAGGAGGAGGAGAGGAAAGAGATTATAATCAAATGCAAGGTGGCGGAGAACCTGTGCCCAGCGCCTCATACGGGCGGCTAGTATGTCCCAGCGCATGCGGCGGATGGTCTTGGGCGTCTGGTGTATAGCGACAACCAGCGGGTGGCGGAAGCGGATGAAGTAGGTGGCTGCAGTAACTCCGAGCGAAATGGCCACCCACATGGCCACGGTTAGCTTTTGATCGAACTCGACCACGTTCATGCCGAAGAGCCCCGATACAAAGGTCAGCGGGATGAAAAAGAAGGCGAGGTTGGTGAGCCTCGTCACCACCTCGGCTTGCTCGATGGCCCGCTCGCTTTCGAGGATGCTCATGGAGGACATGAGCACTTGGTACGTTCCTTCAAGCCGCCGCATCGTGGCTTCCAGCTCCTTCTCGGCCCGCTCTAGCATTCTAATGTGCGCGGGTTTGCGTGATTTGGGAAGTAATGGAGCGCTAAGTTCGGGAACACGTGCGAGGAAGTATGCAATTGTTTGTGATTGATGGAAGAGATGGTTCCGCCATCCTGGTGGGAAGTCTCTCCAGCTCTGAGGGCTTTTCAAGTCCCTTCCCATAGAGAGCTCAATTTCATCCAAAGCTCTGCTGATGCTTACGAGAAGCTTGCGCTGATCCTCGATAACAATGGTTAGAATGGTGTCAAGAATGACCTCCACAGTTGTTTTGCTATCGTCCGCCGAACGCGCAGCGTTCAGTTTGCTTATGAACTTGTCGAGGCAACTCCTGTCGTATTGGAACGCATACTTTGGCGGGCTTTGTTTGCTTTCGACCTCACCGCCGGCCACGAGGTTGTAGTGAACTTCAGTAATGCAGTATTGTCTGGGCCGATCAAAGATGAGAACACCTGAGTCTGGTTACCTAGTGTGCTTGTGTGGCTTACAAGGATACCTAGGTAGGTAGTAGGGTCTCACCTATCATTCTATCATCGAACTTGTCATGATAGAAGGATATGCACTCGTGCGCGGCATGCATCAACATGCTTTGGATATAAATCTTGGTCCTCAATCCCGGTGGGACCGCGGTTGACCGTTCTCCCCCATCTGAAGGATAATGTTGTCCCTCGATATCATTTTCGGGAGATATCTCGCTGACGCCAGCTGATGTTGTCCGAAACTCTCCCTCCTCGATGCTCTGGTAAAACGGTACGTCGATGTCGAACTCGGCAATGGGGTTGTACAACCGGTACGGCTCCGTTACATGCTCATAGCGGTCGTGGTCCAGACGTGAGACGGCCGGGTCAACGTCGTCGACATTGAAGGGGTTCTTGGAGGTCCGCAACCTCTTCTCGCGCGCCCATACCTCCTTGACCTGAGCCGCGCGGCGGGACCATTTGGCTAGAAACACATGATCCTCGTCTAGGGCGCTGTCAATTTGCCCTAGGTTGTCACACAAATGTGCTTTAACGAAAGCATCGGGCAGGCTAGGAATCAGCCGCCGTAACGATGTTATGGTCTGCTCAGAGAGGCCTTCGACGAGATATATTTCGTCAGCGCTGGACTTGGCCTCGCCCGTCGCATTTGGTGATGTTGAGATTCCCTCGTCGATTGCTTGGAGTGACCCATCCGCTAGAATCTTGTAGATTCTAATTTGGGAGTCGGGGGTGTTTTGGCTGTCATCCATCCTGAGCGAGAAATCGCCTGGTTTGCTATCATCACTAGTCAAATCTGTGAGGAGATCAAGGACGGAACTGAAAGCTCGCTACCACCTTGCACCACATGCAGGAGCAGCTACATATATGTACATCCGTACCTCTAAGCTCCCACTCAGCCGCACCGCCCCCCGCTCCCCAGACCCAGAGTCCATCCTCCTTCTCTATCCCCGCCTTTTAACTATCAGTTCGCCGATTAATTCCCAATCGAGAAAAGCCACGCCTGATGCAGTGCAGCCCTTTTTCCTCCTCGCACTCGCCAACACCACATCACAATTCCAGGCTCCCAGGAGCCTCGCGAGCGGCGAAACTCACCTAGGGACCTCAAGTATTCTATCAATTGTGCAACCCCCCCAGTACTTCTCTCAGCATCCTTCCTCGCTCTTGATATGTGCCCCCACCCAAAACCCTGACTGGATTCACCAGATCATACAATCCGTTTCGCTGTTCGGAGAGGCTGCGGAAAATGGCCCTGATGCCGTCATAGTTCTTGAGCCAAATAGCGCATTCCTGCTCCCGCATATTGTCACGGATGATGGTAATCATGAGGGCGGCAATGGCCACTGCGACGGACGTCGCGGTCGCGGACCCGGACATGCGCCTCGTCCCGCCCAGTTGTGTTGTCGGCGAGGGGCTGGGCCACGCCGCCTCGACATGCTCCCCGAGAACGCAAAAGTTGTCGGTCGTGGGCAGCTCGGTAGGATTGAACAGCGACGCATTGCCCAGCCCATCGGCCGAGTGAACGCAGATAACACCAGGCTGAGTTGCTGGGTAACTTCGCCCCGTGTTGGCACCATTATCAGCAGCCGCAGCGAAGATGATTTTCTTGTGATGCACAGCCTTCTCAATCTCATCCTGGATCCTAGGGACGGAACGGGGAAGCCCGAATGGTATCGAAATCATGTCTACATCCCACTCTTCGTTGGCAACTCGGATCGCCTAGCGGACGCGCATGGCGCGGCAGTGTCAGCTACTAGTGGAGCAGAACAAGTCTCGAAGAGCAATGCGTACCTCAGCAACTGACTCGACTGATTCAAGCGTCTGGCTGTTCCCTTCCGATATTTTGGCAACATAGACATCGACGTTCTGCGTCAGTGTCAAGATGGTGCTCACAATATGCGTCCCATGCCCGTTACTGTCAACGGTGGGAGCACTGCCAACCCAACTACGGGCATTTTCGGGTTGAAAACGGTCCTCGTCATAAAAGTCAGGGTGATCAAGATCGATTCCCGTACCTAACACCGCCACTTTAAGGCGTGTGCTAGTCTCCGAGATGTTCGTGTTCACGATGGACAGGAACCGTTCAATCCAGTCATCCGTCCGTTGACAACTAGGATGGCTTGTAAGTCTCTAAGCTATGTATTACAATGTTCAGAGTGAGACTCCTGGGCCCCTGCCGCAGAGGAACTCATTGGCAGCACTTCAATGAACTTACTCGATAGGAGCAGGATTGGCCGGACCCGTGTCGATAGGGAAAAGTGGGAATTGGGGAGGCGGCACTCCTTGCCAGCGCCTTCGCAGGCCATGCCGGACTGGAACGGTCATCGTTACTTGGATTGGGCTGACAAACAAGGCTTTTACCGTTTGTGATGGGACCAGGAACAGGGTGTGGTATTACTCGTAGAAGTAAAGTACCTCATCAGGATGACTGTACAGGACGAGGTTTGGGAGATGGACAAAAGGTGTTATTATTTAGAAGGTACCCTCTGGGGGTTTGGATTTATTTATACCTGACGACGTTCTCCCATTTGTTTATTGCCTTCCCCTGAGACACGACTGGGCGCAGGAGATTGGAGTTGAAACCAACAGCTGCATGCAGGATTCTTTGGGCGCTAATAAAGTGCTTGAAGAGAAGACCAAATTGAGACTGATCTGACAGCCTTGGTTAGCGCAGTATTTAGGTACCTAGTTTAAAATAGGTACCTAAGTTAGTTGGAAACGTGAATTTCTAGCTGCTGACATGTCAATGATTATCTCCTTCGCCTGCTCCTCTGTTTTACTTCTTTTTTTCTTTTTCTACGTATTTTGTTTTCGATAGCCACTTTGAAGTACCTATCTCTCCAGACCTTGCGGACTGTTTTTAGCGGGACACGGGAAACGCCCAACATGGAGCCCAGGTGGCAACCAGTGCTGAACTCGGTAACTCTTCAGCTTTCAGAGCCCGTGATTCGTCATCCCCGCTGTTCTTGCATGCAGCTGGCCATTAGTGAGAAGGGTCCTTCATCCGAACCGGAAGGTCACTGGCCCCTGAATTACCCCTCCTGGCCATCTCAACTCTCACACGCCGCCAACAGCCGAGTTTTGAGTAAGCCTGCTGGAGTGCCTACAGCATCACGTTGAAACGAGACTCCGCAAAAAATATCCAAGTCATTCAACAACAGCACGATGCACGAGCAGCTAAAGGAAGGATTTTGGAGCATAAATAACATTTACAACCGCTCTCACCTTTACGAACCGCTCTCACGAACCGCTCCGAATTTTGCACAATCTCCATCCAGCCCTGAGAGTTCGACCTATCTACAGCTTCTTGGTAACTCACCCGAAGCCCACCATGTCACCCCCAGAGCTAGAGGCTTCGTCGCCCATCACCAAGGCCGACGTGGTCTTCACCGAAGCCACCCCCGAACAGCGCATCCTCTGTTGGGAGCTCAACGGCGCCTCGTGGGCCCCGCCCATGACCATCGCACAATACGTCGGGCGCGAGACGGCCCTCTCCGAAACGGCCCTCTCCACCAACGGCGGCACCAAATACTTCGTGCTGCACCCCCAGAACGACGCCACCACCATCGTCTCCGCCTGCGAAGTCACCGCCAAACGCGCCCTCGTCACTGACAACAACACCAACACAGCCCGCGAGGTCGCCGCGTACTCCATCGCCAGCGTGTTCACCAACCCGCGCTTCCGCGAGCACGGCATGGCCAGCCACATGCTGCGCCAAGTGCAGGAGGTCGTCGACCGGACCAGCGAGTGTGGCGCGCTGTACAGCGACATCGGCCGCGTCTACTACACACGCCTCGGGTGGAAGGACTTTCGCAGCCCGCAGGTGCTGCTAACCGTTTCTGAGGATTTATCTGTTTTCTTTTCTCCTGGGGTGGTGCTCTTGACTGCGGATGGGGTCGCGACGTTGTGCGAGCAGGATGTGGAGGCCATTAAACGCCGGTTCCAGCGGCTGGCGGCGTCGGGGGATGGGAAGACGCATGTTGCGTTTTTACCGACGGCAGAACAGATGGCCTGGCATTTTACGCGGGATGGGTATGTGTGCAAGACGCTGTTGGGGAGGGAGGTGGTGCATCGTGGGGCGAAGACGGAGGATGGAGCGAGCTGGATCTACTGGGACCATGACCTGCGCGAGAAGAAGTTGAAGGTGCTCAGGGTTGTTACGCGGGAGGAGGATGGGGGGGAGAAGCAACGGGGGGATGTGAAGAAGCTGTTGATGGCGGCGCTGGCGGAGGCTAGGGAGTGGGGGTTGCCGAAGGTGTTGGTTTGGAACCCTACCACTAAGGTGGCGGAGGTGACGACTGGAATTTGGAAGGATTTGGGCCCCAAGGTGCAAGTCACTTTTGAGGAACGGGAGGACGGTTCGATTCCCAGCTTGAGGTGGAAGGGCGACAAAGGGTTGGAGGAGGTTGTGTGGGAGAGCAACGAATATTATGCTTGGTGCTAGTGGGGGTCACCTCCATGGCGACAAGACAGGCGCAAAATCCCAAGTATACGTTACGCATCAACTTATTTTTTTGCGGTTGTGACGACTTGTTGAAGCGCATTTTCGGGTATGCCAGGTGCCGCCTGACGGGGTTGAAGTTGTTTAGTCACTGCCCCGGCAAATTGCTGCCCAGCGATAGGGAAAGGCTTCAGCCGTTGGCAGAAATCAGGGCTGCCTCACAATCAACGTCTTGTCGCTGACCAGTCGGGATGGGACCTTCAGAGATGCAATGGGCAAGTGTCATCTCATAACTAACGGCGCTAAACAAGCTCAACGCCAGGATGAAACTATCGTCACCCAGCCCCAACCACAATATCAAATGAGGCGGGAACGGGCAAGCACCCTCAAGCCACCGAGGCGGAATCTGCACCCTTTTTCTCGTCTCTTGTCACCGAAAGCGCGCACCCGCCTTTGGATTGTTCAGACCCTCCCCCCGCAGGATCCACGCGGGATGCAGTGTAACGGAAATGCTTAATTTCCATTCAGCTTGGCCAGATTTGGCTTAAAGAAGCCCAGGGGCCCCGGTCACGGTGCCCTGTAATGCCCCCTGATTGGAACGCCGTGCTCCCCCAAACCGCGCCAGATAATGCACAGAATGCCGCTATCAGGGCCAGAAGGGAAACACGGTGAGAACGTTCCCGGCGTCGGCGTGATGCTTCGCCACAATCCAACCCCATGGGGAGCCTCGTGGACTGCAAGCTCTCGGACGTGGAATCGGAGAGAGCCGGAAATCCCACTGACCCCTCCCCCACGCGGAAAGTTCGGAAGCTCTATCATGCTGCGTCGTCTGCGGCTGAAGCACACCGCGTTTCTGAAGAGACAGAGGAACGGGTGGTGCCCTGAAGCCACATCGTGGCCGAGTTGCTGGATGGCTGGGCCCAGACCTTGTCCCTCACCTTGGACTCTTCTGTCCTCAACTCCTCAATAACAGCGTTGCATCCCGGCCTTCGTGGAACCCAGGTTCACGATACCATCGTTTTTAGTCTCGCAAACACTTTCTTAGTACCATCCATCCAACGACGCTCGCCTTAAACACTCCTTTTTGCGGCCGTCTTTCCCCCTTTCACCGAGCCACACTTGGCCTGATATGCCTCCACTTGGTCCCCTCTGGCCAAGCATTCCACGACCTAGGGATTACTGCGCCATACTTGATGGATCCCAAGACCTCCGCCCCTAGAGAGCCCCGAGACATCGACGAGACACCGCCGCCGGCCGCCGGTCTGCTGATCATCCCCTCGGCGTTCGACGCAGTGGCCGAGCATACCTCGACCGGGCTTTCCAACCAGCTCCAGGTCCGGCCCCTCCTCTGGGAAACCCAGGCCGTGCGGCGCTTCTCGTCACCATCCGTCAACACCAACCAGCAGCGGCTCACCAAACACATCGACAGCGCGAGAACTGCCTATGCCAGAGCCTTTGTGGCTATCCAAAAGTCCATCAAGGACGTCGATGCTACCGCGATCCTAACCCACACCTCCGAGACGGACGTGGCTCAAGCGGCACTCGAGCTCTTCAAGTCACCATCAAGCGAGGATAACGGACGCGTCTCACGGTTTATCGACGTCCTGCACCACTACCATGGCGTCTTTGACGTCCTCTCGCAAGCGGGCGACTTTGCTTACCTGGCGGTGGTCTGGGGCGGGATGAAGATGCTACTGATGGTAAGTTGTGATTCAGAGGCTGGATACCTTGGAGGCCCATCAGCCATAGACTGACACAGACCAGATGGCCAAGAACAAAAAGGACCTCCTCATCAAAGTCACCGACATGCTCGTCGAGATCGGCCTGACCCTCTCGCGTATCGAAGTCTACGCCAGCCTCTTCCCGACCGCCCGCATGGTCGAGCTCATCTCGATGCTCTACGCCGCCGTCGCCGACTTTCTCGAAGAAATCATCCTCCACTTCAACCGCAAATCTCCGCTCCGCAAGCTCGTCTCCTCCTTCGTGCGCCCCTTCGACGAAAAGTTCGGCCGCGCCATGGACCGCATCCACCGCCTCGAGACCTGCATCGAAAAAGACGCCGGCCTCCTGCACGCCCTCCAAAGCGCCAGCATAGCCCAGCACCAACTCGACGCCTACCTGCACGGCACGCACGTCAAGACCACCCTCAACGCCACCGCGCCCCCCCACCCCCTCGCCATCTCCCCGGGAACCACTACCCCCCACTCCCCCCCTCCCCGACATCTTCACCGCCATCAAAGCGACCCTCTTCCGCAACTTCCTCTCCCAAGCCTCCTACCACGACTCCCTCGCGGCCACCTACAGCGTAACCGCCCGCGCCTGGAAGGAATGGTTCACGGTCGAACAACAGCACCTGCCCAGCTCCGCCTCCCTCACCACCGGCACGCGGCTCAGCCAAGGCCTGTGCGACGCGCCCGACCACCAGCACGCGCTGCAGTGGGTGGCGCAGCAGCGCACGCTGACGCCCGGCGTGCCGAGCGTGTATCTGATCTGGGCGCAGGGCATGACGGTGCATGCGGCGGTGGCGGCGCTGGTGCTGCAGGTGTTGCAGCAGCGGCCGGGGGCGGTGGCCGAGCTGGGGATGTTGGATGTGGGGGTGTTGGAGCGCGCGGGGACGAGTGTGTGGCGGTTGTGGGAGGTTTTTACGTACCTGATGAGGATGTTGGGGGGGTGTTTGGTGTATATTTCGATTGGGTCCGCGGGGGAGGATGAGTTTGCGATTGTGGAGAGGTTTGTGAGGACGGTGAGGGCGTGGGATGGCCCGCCGATTTGGGTGACCATGATTCATCCGTATAATGAGGGGTTTGTGGGGATTGAGGAGGCGACGGATTTGGATGGGTTGTATGATGTGCACCCGTCGCTGACGATTACGGATGCGCTGCACCATGTGTTGATGTTGGAGTTGGATATTCACCAGGTGTCGGATACGATCCAGACGGTGCTGTGGGAGGCGGCGTGGAGGGAGACGAGGTATGCGTCCGTGGGGATCAGCTTCAAGAGCGTGGTGAGGGTGGTACTGGATGTGGCGGAGGAGCTATCTTGGACTGAAGTGGATGGGGTGCCTCTGTTGACGGAGCACGGCAGGGAGCTGTGGATGGGCGGTGTCCAGAGATGGATCGACCACCCGGTTGCGTCCAACTGCACGCGGGAACTAGTTCAGCGCCACCTCGACATCGTCCCGCTGGCCCTGCCCGACGACATCCGCGCTGCGATCAGCCGCCACTTGAAATGCCTTGTGATACGAATCGACGAGAGCAAAGCCGCCTCCTTCGCATCGAGATCTATGACACAGAAACAGCGTGACCGAGTGTGGGATGAGATAAAGGCAGCTGTCATCCCGGGATCTGAGGCCATGTTCTGTACGACTATTCGGGAGTTGCTCTTGGACACGTTGGAGAACTTTGCCGAGGTCCCCTGCCAGAACCTGAGACAGGCGGGCTCCGTTCTGGTCAAGCTATTGAATGATCGTTTTGGGGTGGGCGGTATTTGGAGCAAATCCATGTCGAACGACGAGCAGGTGATGGTCAAGGGAATCAAGGAAGCCGTCATGACGGGGTTTACACACACCATTGTAGCGTTATCCGAGCCAGAGGTGGTGGAGGAGGTAGGACCGGAAATTACCCACGGGGGCCCAGATGGGTTGGACCCAGATGGGTTGGACCCAAAAGGCGCTATAGGTTACTTGGGTAACCCAAATGGACCCGTGGGTCGTTGTGGGTTTACTCACTTGGGTCATGGACTTTCGGGTTTTAGCGGGTAGGGACAAGGGCTCATTATATTAAGTACTTTAGGATACAGTTGCTACTAGTAAGTATGATCAAGGGGAGGTCTATTAAAGTAATAACTAGCGCTTCTATAAGTACCTAGAAGACCTTTATTCCCCGGTTCTGGATAAGGGGGCCGGGTTGGAGGGCACAACAATAGGAGTCTTATCCCACCACTGTCGGAACGTAACCGAAAAGCAAAGAGAATATAAATGAGCAAGAATGAAGAGTAGTAGAGGGAGAAAAGAGTAGTGTTGATGAATATACCTAGCTAAGGCTACTCCTGCATTGGTAAGGCTATCACACTCGATTCTACAAGTAATAGAGCTCGGCGACTGTTATGAACTCATTACACCATACGGACAATGCAAAGGGAGGGATGGATACCAGGGTAAATAAAAAAGAAGGTAGGTAAATGAGTAAAGAAATAGGCACTTAAGGTACCCAGTCAAGACGTAGCTATCTCTTTCCGTTCCCAATCACGTCTCTACGACATTGGAGGAGAACACCTCCCACTCCCGGAAGCCATGCTGCACATCGTTAATAAGCTCACCCCAGTGTGAAACCTGCTTCGTAATAGCCCCCATCAGCTGCGCCAAATCGCTTGCTTGGTCCGTTGTCCTCCTGAATCCATGCAAATTGACGGGGCCCCGCCGAATGTCAAGAGGGCCTGGGACGTTTATATCGTCAGGATACAGGAGGACCCCCAGGTCTGTGCTATACTTGTTTAGCATCCTCGCCATCTCCCGAAGCGAATTCGCCGCCTTTTGCAGGACCGAAAACACATGGTCCTTGCACGTGTTACACCCCATCCACTCCGGGGACTTGCTCCCGTGCTCCAGCTCCACCCGCACCATCGACGCCATGTTCAGCACTGCCGAGATCTCGTCCCCCAGCTCGTCCATATCAACCACCACTCTTGATTTTAGCTTATGAAGACTTTGCCTCAGCCGTGTCGCGGCCACCCGGTGCCGCCGCACCTCAGCCGGCCCGGGCCCGTTGGCCGCCCACGCGTCGAGGTCCGCACCGATACGGGCTACCACGGAGACCGAACCCCCCATCCCGCCCGCCACGCCCGGCCCCTTCTCCTCCCAATCGCCAAGTTGCTGCATGAGCTGCGCCAGTTCAAGGGCCTGGCCCTGTACTAGAAGCGGGGCGTCGCTGTAACGAACCTACTTCGGGACCCTGTCCTGTTAGGGTTCAGCTTCGGTTGAAGGTAATCTCTCAAGGGTGCTTAGGTCCGGTGCAGCCAAAAGGTGCACAACAAAGACTTGTCTCAACAGTAGGCTTCCGAGCTTGTAGCGAACTGTAGCTGTGATTGCTAACTGGAGAACTCCCGGAGCTCTCCAGAACGAGTGACTATATACTCTCTCGGTCCTGAGGTACCTCTGTACCTATCGTCCTTGGGAACGTTGGGAACGATGGGAACGATGGGAACGACGGCTCGTTCCTATCGTTCCTGTCGTTCTTGTACACGAAGGGAACGTTTACATATTCCTTTCGTTCCCTTCGTTCCTCCTCTTATTGGTCCAAAACCCTGCTTCAATGATTGAGTGGCTGGGGGACGCTTCCGGCGCGCCCCCATCGGGACCCTGCATGCGACCATAATCGTGACAGTCCCCCGCGAAGCGGCGCATCTTCCCCGGCAGGGCGTGCAAGGCCCGCGTCGTCTCGTGCATGTGATAGCCCGTGACAAGGTCCCACGTTACCGGGGATTTGAGAATTCCGAACGAACCGTCAGCGGGCTTATCCCAGGGCAAGACTGGGACCCAGGATTGCATGGTGCGCCAGACCGCGGGGATGCAGGCCGCGTCCTCGGCCATGTTGGAGGTGGCTGGGAGGATGACGGTGAGCGGGAGCTTTCCCGAGTCCGCCCTGTAGTAGTGTGCGCACTCATAGTGCTTTACGATGGTGGGCAAGTAACGAGTGATGGCATCTTGGTTGCCGTTGCTTCGCTGTTGATGGGTGTTTTATTAACTGGTTGATTTCGGACCCTGGTTAGTTCGTCTAGGTACTGCTCAATTTGGTGCTCAAGGTCGGGCGAGTGGAACGGGTCGCATGGCCCTTCCGTGATGCGTGCGATGGCATGAACCAGGAGCTGAGAATAAGATGAATTGATACTAGGCTCGGACACGTTTACAAATGTAAACGCTGCGGCTGAGCTGTAGGGTTGCGGGGTTTGGTAAAGGCGATACTGTCAGCCCGGAACTCCTTCAAAAGTTGTTGTTGGGACTGGAGCACTCGATTCCTCGGTGATGGATTCAGTCGAGTCGAGAGTCTGAATTGGATGTGGTATTAATACACGGCATGGAGTCACCACAGAATCACTTATATTCACCGTCGACATGGCTTGGTTTAGGAACACATAACCAGTGTCGACAAACTCTGATAGTTCTAGTATGGCCTGTGAACAATACGAGTAAGCTGTCTTACTCCACTATCTGCAACCAACAAAGATATTAATCATCCCAAGGCACTGAGCACCGAGGAACTAGCCAATGAGAAGTCAAGAACACTGGGATAGGCACATAAACCTGAACAGACAATCTACTACCAGCGCCGAGTTCTCTCTAGCCTACTCTTACACACTGCATAGGTACCTTAATTACATTCGCCTCCCAATCGTGTGTATGAGCAAACTCTCATAACATTTGGGATACACGCAGTTTAGATAGGGGGCCTCGCGCATGAAACTGATAGGCCTGTGAACCTAGAAAATGCAAGCAAAATACATCTCCCCCGGCAGACGCACCATTTGACGTGCTGAATTTCAACATTTAATATGTTCCGTTGATACAGGAAGATCGGCTCCGGCGCCTGAGTCAACCCAAGGGTCAGAATTATATCATCCCCTGCGTACGCAGCGCAAGCGGTCTAGAACAAAGAGCGAGTGTTCTTGCACAAGGAAAGAAGCAGTGAGATTGCATGAGGATGAAGGATTGGCGGCGATGATTAAGCACCCAACCGACTATCAACTGCCGGGCGGCTGGAACGGTGCCGCCATGAATCCCTTGGCCACCCAACGGTCAGTGGAGATATTCGTAGAACTAGAATTCATGAAGTTTTGGGTGTCCCTGACGACGATAAACATAAGGACTTGAATATCTATTTCTAGTCAATTCTCCCTTGTAGCTTCCTCGCCGTTAGGTATATTCATGCCCCTGATCCTCGACGCTCCAGCCACATTGACTAATGCAACTGTAAGTTCGGCCCAAGTTGACTGGTTGGCTCTCGAATGATCGGCTGGGCAGCAAGATTGGCGGTGCATTCTTGGCGATGCCAGATTTGGCAGAGCCCTGCTGAAGAGAAATTGAGGATTGTCTCTGTCGCCACTTGCCCAGGCCAGGGGGCTGACTGAGCTTACTGTGGTGTATTACCAGTCGATTACATATCAGAAGCAGAGAGGACTTCGCGCGCGCGACCCAGAAAACAAAAGACAATTCTCCAGGGCAACAACTCGCAGATCAAGAAAAAAGGTTATACCTACTTTGGACCCGCCTGTTCGGTACGAGAGTACTCTGTTTTACCTGTACGGTTCTTGCAGGGGGCTGCCGCATTCGAAACCCTACTTGGCCAATTCCAGTAAAACCACGCGCCCGGCAACAGAATGGCCGGCGTACCAACCGGCCGAGGTTGCGATGCATGCCGCAAGCAGAAGAAAAAGGTACCAAACAGCCCCCGGGCCGCAGCCACCGTCTCCTCATCGGGCTGGTAGTGCCGCGCGGGATGAGAAACGTCAGTGAATGTGATGAATCCCGCTGACCTGGAACCAGTGTGATCTTGCCAAACCGGCCTGCTCAAGGTGCACGCGGCTGCGCATTCCCTGCGTCGGCTGCGGAGAGAAGCGATACAAGTTCAAGCATGCACATGCAGCGGCACCACCATCAGCGGTTACACCAACAGCAGCCGTCCCGGCGCCGACGCCCCCAAAACCGGCTTCCGGTTCAGGCGGTCCCAACCCACCCGCAGCCGCCTCTTCGGCCAATGCGGAGCCGCCCAGGAGGGGTCTCATCACCCTTCGAAGGCCCCCGAGCAACGGTCTCACACGCGGAACAGCAGCGTACATTGCCGTGCTGGGTGTGTCGGACCTGCGATACGACCTTGCCGGGTGTGGCGGTTTTCTCAAGGATCTTCCTCGGCGACTTGGCCGCAACAAGGCTCTGGACGCCTCCATCGGCGCGCTCACCGCGCTATTCCCCAGCCTGTACCGGGCAGAGACGTCGAGGGGCATGCTGTCGGCCTACGTCTATGCGCTGGAGTGCCTGAGGTATACCCTGGCCGACCGTGCCACCGCGCAGACGCCCGAGACGCTCTGTGCTATTTACATCATCACCATCTGCCAGGCAAGTAGAGTCCCCCTCAACTCCATGAACTGTTTCTGAGAATGCTTGCGCATGGCTGGTCGAGCGTCGTCGTTTCTGCGTTATCCGAGTCTCATCTAACTGAACTCCCCTCTGTCCAGGGCTGGATAGGGGGCACCGATGACCCCCCGGTGGCCCATTCCGAGGCGGTCATGCATATCCTCAACTGCATAGCCGTAAACGGTTGGCGCGGGCGCTTTGAGAACCAACTGTTCCTCACGCTTGCCGTTTCCGTGGTAAGCAGACACACACGCTCCCCCATCTCCCACCTGCTTCCCCCCTTCCACCCCCAAGCTCTGTGCCTAGGGAGTAGAACAACACCACCCAACACTAACCCCCCAAGCCCAACCCCAGATCCCGAAAGCATCTACAACCCCAACATCCAACTCGGCCCCTGGTTCCGGCGCGTCATGGACAACTTCACCCCGCACGGCACCACGTCCTCCAAGAACGGCGGCCCCGGCCCAGCCACCAGCATCACGACGCTGGTCCGCCTCGTCGAGTTCGTGCGCGACCCCCACGGCGACGGCGGCGACATCGCCGATATCGTGCTCGGGTACGATGTCATGCTGCGCGAGACGGCGCAGGCGCGCGCCAATCTGGAGGGGATGTTTGGGGTGATGTCCGCGTCGCGGTCGGGGACGGGGACTGGGACCGGGACCGGGTCCGACGCCTCGAGTGAGGGGCTGTCGGTGCCGTCGAGCCCGGGAAGTGGTGGTGGTGGTGGACCAGACAGGGAGCGGATCCAGCTGCTCTGCCAGGCGCAGTACGCGGTGCTGCTGGCGGCGACGATGCTGGTGAACAGTTTGCTGGGGGCGATGCTGGCGGACAGTGGGGAGCTGGTGGGCCAGGTGGCGGCGTATCCGGACGAGCTGGTGGCGCTGAACGCGCAGACGGCCAAGTACCGGCCGGTGGGGGCCGGGTTCATGCCGACCTGTTTGCTGATGGCGTCCGCGGCGACGACGGACCCCGCGCAGTTGGGCAAGCTGAATGCGGCGTTGGCCGAGTTTGGGCCGTATCCCGGGCATGGGAAGTGGGAGTACTGGGCGGCGGAGATGAGGGGGTTGTTCCAGGGGCTGCGGTATAAGATGTCGTTGATATATCGCGAGACAGTGTTACCGTAGGAGAATCAAAGGGTATCGGAGCAAGTTGACGGTTTGGTCTACAATTCCGCTGAAAGTTTGGCAGATGTTTTCCGGTCTTCCTATCAGTGTAGGATCCATGTAGGCAGCGGGTGATATGCATACATATCTGGAAGTAAAGTGGTTATAAAACATAATTGTTATTCATACTCCGCTATGCCCTAGGGCGTGCCGGACCCTCAGCTATTTAGTGTACAGGACAACCGTGCCTTCCCGGGCCGGGTGAAAAACCCATACCAACAATCAAGGAACGATGCGTTCTGGTGAGTCTGCGTATACAAAGAGAGGAGGCCTCCTGGCCTCCGAACGGGGGCGCTTCAGGCCGCCGCTTCCAGCTCGAGCCTCCTGGCTAAGCTGTACATCGGCGGCTTCCCCGAGTCCATCGGCCAGTCGAGGATCCTCCTCGCGAGCCGTGCAGTCGTGGGATTGATGCCGTGTAGAACAGAGCAAAAGTCCCGTGGTGTCACCGCCCAAAATATATTTGAGTTCTGTGTTTTTAATCATCGGTCAGATCCACCTCTATACGACCATTGCCGAGCCGGCGCGTCTTATAATGAGTGCGTAGCTCGTCGCTGGTCGCAGCCGGTGCTCGACGCTTGATTCGGTCGTCATTCTCGGTCTTTATTATGCTCGCAGTATCGTCGGAAGCTTTGCGCTTCACTGTACCAAGAGAGCGCTACTATCAATCGTCAGCTTGTTCTTGACATCCAACACACGCATTGAAGCGCGGCGGGTCGTGTTCACCTCAGCCCCCCTCGTATCCCCAACCCCGCCCTCCGGCGAAGGATCAGGGATAATCCCTTCCTTGATGAGATCCTCTGTGCGGGTGATAGTCTTCGTTAGCTGGGTTGAACAGGTGAAATAACGAGATGTATATCTCTAAGGGTTACTTACCCCTCGATCGATAGCGAAATTCAAAAACAGCGAAGGGCCGTCTATTAGCAGCGGTAAAATGGTGATTGTAGGTGTGAAACTTCCGGCGGGCGGGGTCGTCTGGTAAAGGAGTATAACTACAATATAACGATGAGCCTGGCACCCGGCTGCCCGCATGACTGCGTGGGGAGGACGTACGCTGTCTTGCAATCCACGGCGTTACCCTTTTTCACAGCTTTCTCAGCGGTGATGTGGGCTCCGGTATTACCATCGTTGCCGCTATGAGGGCGAATGTCGTGTTCGAAATGCTCGTCTGTCCCTGCTATATGAGAGAAAGTAACGTAGAGGATCCCACAGTTCTCCATGTCCTCGACGTCTTTTTCCCGTACCTGTCTTTTCTGGACTGCATCGGCCCGCCAATGTGTAAGCTACGCGCCTAGAGTCCCCAGGAGTGTCATTAATGGATGTATACCTGTCTTGAACTGGGAGAATGAGAACGAGCGTCGGTGGTACCCATCGGTTGGGTCACAAGAGTAACGAGTGGTTGTGACTAGTGCGCCTCGCTGCGGATCGTGTTGTGTCTCAAATTCCATCAAAATCTTTGTGCCGTCGATCCAGTACCTAGGAAGGATGGATTGGCCTGGTTTCTGAACAGAAGACGTCCCGAGATAGTGAAAGCTAAAAGGCGCGCCATGTTTTGCTTCGATATACTTGATGATATAAGGCGGCTCGGGCCCATGGTCGGGCAGGACATCGAATTCGGAGAGGCCCATGCCCTGCGCTTCGTCGTTGGGATCGTCGTACTCGGTCGCTGGCTCTCCGTCCACGTTGACCCAGACCTCGAGGCCGGGGATTGAGTCGAGGATGGCCATGGTGCCTGGGGTTGTTGATGAGAATATTCAGTGATGATGTGGGAAAGGCACGAGTCGGTGGTGGGGTATAAGTGCCGTTCAAAGCAGAGCTACTGTGCGAATAGCATGTACGAGTTAGGAGGGCTACTGACGAGGAAACAATGACAAAAAAGTGACAACAACAATAAAAATAACAACAGCTACGGATTTACCACCGCCATCGCCATCGCTCAATTCATCGAGAAAGTACAAAGTTGAACAATGCTAATAGAGCTTCGTCAATTTCCACGCCCAAGAACACATGAAGCGGGATCGGAATACAGAGCTGGGGCCTGGAGCGGACATGAATGGTACCTGCATGTAGGTAGGTATGTACCTACTGTCGATTCTGCCTAAACACAGGCCCGGGGTTTGTGGTTTGTCTAGGAGCGCCCGTAACACTCGTGAGCCTTGTAAGGTGCGGTGCATCATGGATAACCGAGGAGACCCTGAAGAGTGTATGTGGGAGTGGATAACACATGAAGGCAGTTTGGTAGCAGTTGATGAAGAGCATGCGGGCAAATATGATTTAGCTTCACGAGGAATAGAGCAGCTTCTGGGTATACAATTATCGCTACAACCAGGAAAAACGCACCCCATGACGGGTCATCGTCATGGGTGAGGTCTGGTCTACAACCTCTCATACGTCTCGCGTCCGTCTCCCGCCCGATGCACCTTGTACCGCTGTCTAAGCTCAACAGCGGGCATCGGCCCCGAGCCACGCTCCCCGGCCGTCCCACATGTGTTGTGTAAGTTATTCTCACTGGCAGAGTGCTATTTACCAACTCAAATCGTCAGTTGAGCTTTCAGTCAATCCCCTACATGTACACTGGGGATGGTGCGCACCTTCGTGTCGGGCTGCGGTGTCATGGCTGAGAGTAAAGCTGTCCGACTGTTCTCTACATGTAGTCTTCAGCGACTCCTCGGTTTCATCGTGAGCAACCTGTGTAGGCTGTGTCTAAAAGGTCGGTTGTTCTCTTGCACCTGCAACCTGATCCAGGGTGGCGGGAGATTCCAGAGAGACACGCTCTCGCGCAAGACCCTCTGTTTATGACTGTCAGTGTGCTGTTTTATGCCAACCGCAGGCAGCGGGTTGAATTGGTATCACGAGGAGGGGATTGTTAACACTGACTTCTCGTTCGATAGATGAACTCGAACACAGCAAAGGGGAGTTTTGCCGGGTCGCTGTGGTTCCACTCGCGGCATTTCTCAGGTGCTGGGGGATCTATCGGGTGGGAAGTTTCACTGGAAGTCGTCAGTTCAAAGCAGTTCAGTTTCTGGGCAACGGTCGGTAAGGCTCATCCTTGACATGCCGACCTTAATGCCTAAAGCGCCATCACTTACATTACCACGCAATCTAGCATTGACCCTTTCAGAGCTTGCTCTGAAAACTTGGGGTCCCTGATCTCCGGGGTTTCGTCGTAAGTTCGACATGAATGCTTCCACCCGCTCTCATTCATGTTATAGACATAAACAATCAACCTCCCATAGTCTGCCGCTAGCGAAGTTTGACGTCGAAGGTCTTCGTCCGAAATGTTTTCGTCCGCTAACCGAGTGTCAGTAAATACGAATGGGTTTTGAGCGACGGAATGACTTACTCAATTGAAGATCCTTGAACCGAAAGCTGTGCTCCCGATACCCATTAGTTGGGTTGCCAGAGATGAACCCAGAAACTCTCGACGTCCATTGACTAGCTGGGTATCCGGGATGATGTTGATCTTTACCAGCCTCTTTGCCATCAATGTAGAGCTTGTAGCCCAAGTGGTGGCCTCGCTCTGGAAAGTTGGGTTCTTTGACAATCACAACTTCGAATTTTTCACCTGGTGTTCCCTCGATATACCGAACCACATGGGGCAGCCGGCCTTTATGATCCGGAGGAAGGTCAAAGTCCTCTCGCTCCAATTTTGTCGAGGCGCCGCATTCGCGAATGGGGTGGTGGAATTCCGAAGCCGCCTTACCTTCAACCTCGACGGTGACAGAAAGGCCAGGAAAGGAGGTGATGATTGCCATGGCAAATATCTGCCGGAGTTGATCTTGTATGTGTTTGAGTAGAAAGGCCGGACCTAGGAGAACCAATGTCGGAGGTTGAGTTTTGGATTCTTAGTACCGGACAGTCATAAAAGCCAAGGCTGGTGATGAAAATAGGTAATTAGCGAGGACAAGTAGGCCGTAGTTGAGGAAAGACAGTCCCTGTATTAATTCATCGCTGTTCCGACGGAACAATGCTCTGATAAGCTCACCTGACAGTTACTGTGTTAAAAACATGTGGAATGACCGACAGGGGTGGTTGCTAGCCTGGGATGATACAACATCGTTGCCACAATCAGGATAGAGATATGTTCCCCAAGTTCTGCTGCCTCCTCTGTTGCTACATTGCCTTGTTTTTACTGATTGGAGACACACAAATATTTTTCATGCGCCAGGGTGATAGTATTAGTGACTGAACCATTGGTACCCAGGGACAGCGCTGCTCACGAGTCAATCAAGTCAATTTTCGCACCGAAACTTGACTTGCTTGAATATCACAACGGCATGATTGCTTGATTGGAAATACTTGCGACTTGCTTGACATACTTGAGATTTTGCGAGGCCTGCTAGCAACCCTACTGCTTATACATCTCTCCAAAAGCGAGCGATGCCTGTCAAGTCCCCCGCGCCAACGGCCGTTAAAGATCAGCGGCCTCGTCGGCAGACACCGCTAGCTTGAAGTAAACGCCGCCGAGGGTAACTGCGTCACGACGAACCCAGTTCTTCAAACATTGAACCATCTGGAGGGTCTTTAGGTCCATTGCGAGTCTCTGGCTAGTAAGAGTAAGCTTTGCCAGGCTGAAGGCTCTCTCGCAGTCCGCCGCCATCGCTGGAATTGAGAAGATATCCAGCGCCAGCGTACTAAGGGTTGGGAACTGTTGCCGACGACCCATCCACCAGGTAATAGGGTTGTCAACTTCGATAGGCAGCTCGAGACGTAGATATCGCTCTAGCTCTGTCGCATCCAACGCTCTATTTCGCAGGCGTATAAGATCGGCGCCAAGCCACTGGCCGTATTCGCCATCTTCCCGCTCGACCCGCCCCTTTTGTTGGCGGCTCGCCGGGCAAGGAGAAGACCCGCTCTCCGCCTGATCGCGATACCACGCCGTCCAATATCCCTCAAGACCATCCTTGGCATCTCGAAGCCACGCAAGCTGATCACCTGAATTCCAGCGAGTCTCAAGCCAGCGCAGACTGCGGCCTGGATGTAGAATGACCGCCGCTGCAAAGAGAGGAGATTCTCCAAGCTTTGTGTAGTACTGGTTGAGCTTTTGCCACGCGTTTGTGATGGACAGACGAAGGTAGCCTCGCGAATCGTCGGAGAGAGTGTTAAGACGCGCCGACACGCTTGGTGGCCGTTCGAAGAATTCTTCTTGAACGTGGGGAGGTAAGGCCCGGGTATTGAACGCGGGAGATCGTACCCGAGAGGACCGATTGTTTCGTGTATGCTCACTGCGTTGTACCGCATGAGGTGGGTGGCTCTGGCTCTGGGTAATAGCCTCGTCTGCTGGTTCATCGAAAAAGACCTTCCAGAACTCTAACTTATCCAAGAGAAACTCCATCCCAGGAAGGATTTCCCAGAGGTAGCCGAAGGAGCCTTTCTCGCCCCAGCCTTGGCATCTCATGGTCTGGAAGTAAAGGGGCTCAACTATCGCCTTCAGCTCAGTAAGTAGTCGCCAATCCTCGGCAGTGAGAAACTCTTCGACGGGTATCCCATGTCCCTCCCCTTCAGAAACCTGGAGCTGTACCAGAAAGGAATGGATGTGATTTTTCTTCTTGATAGCCCTGTCAATCATGAGGTACGTAGAGTTCCATCGCGTGTCGTTGCTAAGAGTGAGCTGTAACTCGGCTTTTGATTCTTCATGGAGCAGCCAGTCCTCTTGATCGTCGGTTTCCTGAGCCAGGGCCTTGAAGGACTCGCTGCGCTGGGGCGACGACCTAATGAACTTGACGATATTCCGGAGTTTGCCGACAGGGCCTCGCTGCCTCCATGAACGCAGGTCGGATAGAAGAGTATTAGAGCCGTCTTGCGGCTGAGACTCCTCCTCGAGAGTCTCGTGGTCCTCGCCGTAAAAAAAGCTCTGCCTACCAGATTGAGGATGTGGCCGTAGCAACGCATACGCCGCTCCATTATATCGGTCTTGGTGAAGGCGGGCTTGATCTGGCGAAAGAAGGCAGCAGTGCAGACATCGTTGCTTGAGGCGTTGTCGGAAACAAGAGTCCCGACACAGTCTTGGATCTCCCACTCTTTCATAATACCGAGCAATGTAGTCGCGAGGTTATTTCCAGTATGGGCGCCGCTCTGCCGTGTCAGCGCGAGGAGGCGTTGCTGCTGGATCCCTTTGCTGTCGAGGAAGTGGCAAGACACTGCCATGACCGCGTAGTTGTTGGATGACGTCCAGAGATCAAAGACAAGATGGATCCTTGATGCGGCAGTCTTTAACGATGCCTTGACTGAGGCTCTCTTCTGCTCATATATGGTCTCTAGCTGACGCCGTTGACTTGACCTAGACCAGGGGATCTGGGAGGCAAGAGAAGGATCGAAGCGATTGAAGACCTCGGTGATATATCTCTCGGTATAAATGCCAAAGGGCAAGTCAGCGTTCACAATATGGCCAACGAGGAGCTCCTGGAGCTCTCGGACCTGCGACACCTGCGCATACCGCGGCCTTTTTGATGGGTGGAATGAGACCTTTGACTCCGAGCTGTCGACCTGCTTGTTCGGGGGGACGATCTTGTGTTTTTCCTCGAGATGGCTACTCGCTGAACTTGTGGCTTCGACAGTGTAGATAGCATCAATGGATAACTTCTCGTCACAGCGCCGACAAACCCAGAGACGGCCAGCTAGATATACGTTACGTTAGCAATCTTCTGGCGAAGCGAAAGTTGGAGACATACGTTGCACGCGGCCCTGGTTGATCTCCCGAAGGAAGACGCCATGGTCCTTAATCCACGCCTTGGGCAACCGGGATCCCTTCTTCCAAAGGCGCTGGTCCTCAATAAAGCAACGGCCTCGCCATCTCGCGACCGGGAAGCCTTCGAAACGGTCAGAATCACTTGAGGACCCTGATTCCGACAGTTGCGCGATAATGGAGGCTGGAGGACGCCCACCAAAGAAAGTGAGGGCCATCGAGGTCTAGACAATTGAACTCAATGGATTGGAGCGTTTTCCGACTCTAGAACCGAGACTAAGAATTGGGTAGAAGCGTGATTATGATAAGAGGGTGGACTGTAATTAGTCGCGTCCAAGACGCGTCGCCAGTCGCTCTCAATCGGGGCCTAAATTGTCTGATTTTATTGGTCGACAGTCACGTGACTCTGGCACATGAACTTGTCAATCAAGTTCTATCTGGGAGGGAAAGCGCCATCAGATACAAGGCATTGGTCACCAGATATGAAGGCAGTCCGGGCGACGATCAAATACGCAATGGCAACAGGAAGGCTGGAGCAGAATGAGGAGGAGACTCAGGAGAGTCTAGACCAGTCACAGTAGAAGAAACCGACACTCAACACCACGAGCCTCAACCACGAGCCTTAACCAGCAGGTCCCGCTTTAGCTGCTGAAGATAGGACGCTGAACACTTGGAGAAAGTAGCCTCCAAGCTGATCTGCTAACAACAACCAAGGCAAGAGGTAAATGGTGCAGCGAGAAAGAGGGAAGAAGTAGGGGGCTTGTACGAGTTAAAGGCAAAACGATTTGATCCGGATGTAGTTAGCGTGCTAAGGCCCTATAGGCCCAGTGCCTCCGGGCGAAATAAATTCCATCCATCCATCCATCCACTTGTCAATCAAGCAAGCAGGGAGTCAAGTTCAGACAGGGTGCTCCAGACCAAGGCAAGAGGTAAATGGTGCAGCGAGAAAGAGGGAAGAAGTAGGGGGGCTTGTATTACGAAGTTAAAGGCCAAAACGATTTGGATCCGGATGTAGTTAAGCGGTGCTAAGGCCCCTATAGGCCCAAGTGCCTCCCGGGCGAAATAAATTCCATCCAATCCATCCGAAGTCAGGTTTCGACCCTTTCGAACTTGCTTGCTTGAGTCTTTCGAGCGGCCTGTAATTGCTTGGTTCATTGATTAACTTGGCTTGACATGATTGACTTGTGAGCAGCGCTGCCCAGGGATTCACCACTGCTTTTCGTTTATTTTCTGCTTATTGAACTTGAACATCATACTGTTGCCCGAAGACGCCATACGAAACTGCGTTGCCAGATAAACAACGTTTCAATGATCCTGTTAATCCTGATCCAAAATAGCGAAACTAAGAGCAACCAAATAATTTCCATCCCATCTCACATGCAGTTGCCTCCACCTTTCAAGCCAGGTAGAACTGGCTCATGTTGCCATCCAGGCGGAACTCCAATGGCTTCAGAGCCAGCGTCGTGACAAACTCCTTGTCAAAGTTCTCCATGCAATACGTAGCAATCATGTTGAGACCTGAAAGAGGCTCAGTCAGCGGCCCATCATCAACGGCATGTGCAGTCAATCCACGGCAGCAATAAGAGATAGGTACTCACCGGCTCCAGCACCCCCCGCAGTCCACAACTCCCCCTTGCCCTCCCCATCAAACGGCTTCTCCTCCACCACCCAGCGCTGATCCTGCCAGTCCACATCCGGGCACAGCTTCTTCGCAATCGCCAACCCCTCCCTATTCGTGGTCGCCTTCCGGCCATCCAACAAGCCGGTACTCGCCAACCAAACACTCCCCGTGCAGGTGGTCATCCACACGCGGGTCCTGAGCCAGGCCTCCTTCATGAAGCGGTCGGCCGCGGCCGGGCGGTGCGAGAAGAAGGTGCCGCCGACGATGACGATGTCGAGGTCGCGCGGGCAGTCGTCGTACGTCATGTTGGGCACGAACTTGAGCCCGGGCGTCATGTGCGCCGGCTCCAGCGTCGTGGCCAGGAAGAAGAACTCCATCTCGACGGCGTGCGGCGCGAAGGCGGCCCAGGCGGGCTCGAAGTGGTGGATCTGGCTCATGTATTCCTGGGAGAGGTTGCCGAAAATGTCGATGCCCATGATGTCGGAGAGCTGGACCATTTCGAGCATCACGGCGATGCGGAGCTTCTTGGGGGTGGTGGCGGCCATGGTGATGGTTTTGGGTTGTTAGGTTATTGGAGTTGCTTTGGTGTTAAGGTTTGATTGAGTGATGTTGTGATGAGATGAGTTCCTCTGAAGTGAGGAAGGAGAACTGGTTTATAAGCACCTACGGGCAACATCTGCTCCGATCTACGTCGCTACGAATATTGCTTCGTGTGTCCATTGTCTCTCAAAGTAACGCGCGTCTTCCGACAGCCACCGGAGTTGGGAAGACAATTAAAACACCGTCCGACATTAAGACGCCCAAGAACCACGGACAATGTCTTGTACCGATCCTCCGCGGCTGCGGTTGGCGTTAGCCTGAGCCGGTTCGATGCTAATTCCGAGGGCCCTCGGAGCTTAACTATATACCGGGGTTGGACCCCGGAGCGGAGCCTCCATCCTGTAATCCTGGAGGAGAGCTTGGCTTCCGACGCGGATCTTAAACAGCGAAGAACAACGCAACCGGATCGATCTACACAGACACATGCTTGTAACGCGCGGCAGAGACAAAACCGGAACCTCTCATTACGCAAAGCCAACCCTGAACATGACTCGCAATATGCCACGCCAAGGAACACCCACTGGGCAACCACTCGCCCACTACCGCCGCTCATCCGTCGCCACAAACTTGACACTCTTCCTCCGCTCCCTCTCGACCCCCAATCCCCCCCCGTCCCGGACTCGAGCTCAAAATGCCCGTCCCAACCCTCCGAACCACTCCCCAACCCCCCGCCACTCCCCAACGTCTCCCTCACCGTCTCCACCGCCCTACTCTGCGGGATATCATTCCCATCACTCCTCACAGGCACCACATGATGCCTCCCACCCATACCCACCACTTTCCCGCTCCCCCCCCTCCTCCATCCAACATCAAAACTTTTAACAGCGGGGAATCCTAACTCGTCCCTCCAGATCAAGGGCAACGACGGATGGTGAGCTTGCTGCCGGACGCCGGTCGACCTATCCAATTTGTCCACCCTCCCACCCACAGTGCCACCCCTCGTGACAAACCGTGTTGCTTGACTATGGTTAGTAGACCCTTGTGCCTGACATGGACGGAGGGGCCATGTCCCAGCTCCCGAACAGATCATCACAAACTTGTTCGGAACTCCCTTTTTACTATGGAATTGTGCGTCTGGACACCTTCCAGGCAATTTATCTCCGATGAGGACG